TCATGTTGATTACATCATTGATGATACAATGACAGCAAAAAGCAATAAAGATTAAACGTGCTTAATTGTATGGTTGGTTGATCTTGTAGTTTGCTCGGTTTTGTTGAAGTGTAAATGTATAGTTTCTTTAAATCTTTGAAGTTTAGGGAAAAAAGAGAAACAGCCTTGTATTGAGTTTGGGGGTTTCAGCGCTGATCAAGGAAAAAGATACCACCACACGGTGGCAGTAACACATGAGGATCTTGAGCAGGTGAGCACTCAGACAGGACTTCACGCTTTAAAGCTGCCCGAAGAACAAGACTTCTCGGAGGCTAGAGTGAAGGGCTGTCCCCTAGAAGGGGAGGGTAAGGAATTGGGGAGAAGTGGGAATAACAGCAAAGGGAGCTCAGTATAAGTCCTTGCTCAGCAACGCAGTAGGGAGTCTGCCTGTCTGAGAACTTCAAAGGGCAGCAGTGGCTTGGGGTCTTCATAGTCTTGGATTTTGTCTGCGGCTATGATGGTTGAGTGCAGTTTCATGGAATGTGCAAACCAGATGGGCTCTAAATGGCTAAAACTAAGATTATTTTGGCTATATATAAAGCAAACAGATGTATAAAAATTTGAGTTTGACACCTCAGGGGGTTTTTTAATTAATGTTGCCAGCCTGCTGTGAAGAAGTAAACAATGCAGGGCCAGTATACAGGGGCCATCTTTGGCTCATTTACTTAACGCCTGTGGATGCCCATTACAAGTACCTTCTTGAGCCAGGAACCCTATTGGCAGTAACTGTTCTTAATATATCATAATATTCAAAGAGTATAGTGCCCTCTCCATTTCTCCCTGATACTGTTCGCCTAGTGGATTCTCAGTAAATATTTGAATGTTAATATCTTATCAGTGAAGCTTACCTCTACATTTGTCTTTAAATTTAGTGACTTGATGCTTAATTTAGCTGTAGTAGTTTCAGTTCAGTTCAGTCCTTCAGTCATGTCCGACTCTTGGCACCCCATGGATTGCAGCACGCCAGGCCTCCCAGTCCATCGCCAACTCCTGGAGTTTACTCAAACTCATATCCGTTGAGTCAGTGATGCCGTCGAACCACCTCATCCTCTGTCATCCCCTTCTTCTGCCTTCAATCTTTCCCAGCATCAGGATCTTTTCAAATGAGCCAGTTCTTCGCATCAGGTGGCCAAAGTATTAGAGCTTCAGCTTCAGCATCCATCCTTCCAGTGAATATTCAGGACTGATTTCCTTTAGGATGGACTGGTTTGATCTCCTTGGAGTCCAAGGGGCTCTCAAGAGTCTTCTCCAACACCACAGTTCAAAAGCATCAATTCTGTGGTGCTCAACTTTCTTTATACTCCAACTCTCACATCCATACATAACTACTAGAAAAACCATAGCTTTGACTAGACAGACCTTGGTCAGCAAAGTAATGTCTCTGCTTTTTAATATACTGTCTAGGTTGGTCATAACTTTTCTTCCAAGGGTCTAGCGTCTTAATTTCATGGCTGCAGTCACCATCTGCAGTGATTTTTGGAGCCCCCAAAAATAAAGTCAGCCATTGTTTCCCCATCTACTTGCCATGAAGTGATGGGACCAGATGCCATGATCTTAGTTTTTGAATGTTGAGTTTTAAGCCAACTTTTTCCACTCTCCTCTTCCACTTTGATCATGAGCCTCTTTAGTTCTTTTTTGCATTCTGCCATAAGGGTGGTGTCATCTGCATATCTGAGGTTATTGATATTTCTCCCAGCAATCTTGATTCCAGCTTGTGCTTCATCTAGCCCAGCATTTCTCTTGATGTACACTGCATGTAAGTTAAATAAGCAGGGTGACAATATACAGCCTTGACATACTCGTTTCCTGATTTGAAACCAATCTGTTCCATGTCCAGTTCTAACTGTTGCTTTCCTGACCTGCATACAGATTTCTTAAGAGGCAGGTCAGGTGATCTGGTATTCCAGCTTTTTAAGAATTTTCCACTGTTTGTTGTAATCAACACAGTCAAAGGCTTTGGCATAGTCAATGAAGCAGAAATAGATGTTTTTCTGGAACGCTCTTGCTGTTTTGATGATCCAGCAGATGTTGGCAATTTGATCCCTGGTTCCTCTGCCTTTTCTTTTTTTTTTTCTTTTTTCTATTTTTTTTTTTTATTAACAAGCAAAATAATAATTAAAAAACAACAACACAACAGCAAAAACCTTAAAGTTGGAACTGCAACAAGTCAAACTGCTGCTGGAGTTCACAAATATACCTGGGGTACATGCTCCCTCACTGCAAGGCAGGACCTAGGCACATAACTGTGCATTTAGGTATACAGGTGACCAGGAAGAGTCAAAGAGGTGGAAACCACTGGAGAACAGAAAGCATCACAAGCTTTTCATCAGGCAATTCCAAAGTGCTCTGCTCTTTTCCTCTTCTTTGCCTCTGTATCCTCTGTGGTTCCTGTTCCAGCTGAACTTGTGACAATCCCAAATTGCTCCTTCCTCTTTTTCAGCTTTTCGTCATCCTCCGACTTTCTGGAGATTGAAGAGACATTCAAACCAAACCTTTGAGCTCTTTCTTTTAGCTTATCCAGGTTAACCATAGGCTTGGTATCAGACGACAGACCTTTTGATGGAACTGGAGAAATCCCAAATCTAGCTGCCCGGGCAGCTTTCTTACTCTCCAAACTCACAGGTACATCGAATCGTTCAGCTCTCTTCTGCATCCTCTCAGTCTGTGGTATTTCAGATGTAATTTTTACCACTTTTTTCTCTGCTGCCACATCAACAGTTTTTTCAGGAGGTTCTTCCTCTTTGACAGGCAGTTCTAAGGGCTTTGGTTCTTCTTCCTCTGTTTCATCTCCCAGTACATCTTCTTCATTTGCCTCCTCTTCAGCATGCTCTTCAAGATATGCCTGGAGCCTGTTGATGAGATCTTGTTTTATTCCCTTGGTCTCCAAACCACGAGCAAGGCACTCCTGCTTTAGTTCAGCAAGCTTCAGCTTATGAAGCTCCACCGTCTCAGTCGCCATCTTGTTACCCTTCTCCTCTGCCTTTTCTAAGTCCAGCTTGAACATCTGGAAGTTCACGGTTCATGTACTGTTGAAGCCTGGCTTGGAGAATTTTGAGCATTACTTTACTAGCGTGTGAGATGAGCGCAGTTGTGCAGTAGTTGACATTCTTTTGACATTCTTTGACATTCTTTGACATTGCCTTTCTTTGGGATTGGAATGAAAATTGACCTTTTCCAGTCCTTTGGCCATTGCTGAGTTTTCCAAATTTGCTGGCATATTGAGTGCAGCACTTTCACAGTGTCACGTTTTAGGATTTGAAATAGCTCAACTGGAATTCCATCACCTCCACTAGCTTTGTTCATAGTGATGCTTCCAAAGGCCCACTTGACTTCACATTCCAGAATGTCTGGCTCTAGGTGAGTTATCATACCATTTTGATTATCTGGGTCGTGAAGATCTTTTTTTGTATAGTTCTCTGTATATTCTTGCCACCTCTTCTTAATATCTTCTGCTTCTGGTAGGTCCATACCATTTCTGTCCTTTGTTGTGCCCATCTTTGCATGAAATGTTCCCTTGGTATCTCTAATTTTCTTGAAGAGATCTCTAGTCTTTCCACTCTATTATGTTCCTCTATTTGTTTGCATTGATCACTCAGGAAGGCTTTCTTATCTCTCCTTGCTGTTCTTTGGAACTCTACATTCAAATGGGTATATCTTTCCTTTTCTCCTTTGCCTTTAGCTTCTCTTCTTTTCTCAGCTATTTGTAAGGCCTTCTCAGACAACCATTTTGGCCTTTTGCATTTTTTTTTTCTTGGGGTTGGTCTTGATCCCTGTCTCCTGTACAGTGTCATGAACCTCCGTCCATAGTTCTTCAGGCACTCTATCAGATCTAATCCCTTGAATCTATCTGTCACTTCCACTGTATAATTGTAAGGGATTTGATTTAGGTCATACCTGAATGGTCTAGTGGTTTTCCCTACTTTCTTCAGTGTAAATCTGAATTTGGCAATAGGGAGTTCAGGGTCTGTTCCCGGTCTTGTTTTTGCTGACTGTATAGAGCTTCTCCATCTTTGGCTGCAAAGAATATAATCAGTCTGATTTCGGTATTGACCATCTGGTGATGTCCATGTATAGTGTCTTGTGTTGTTGGAAGAGGGTGTTTGCTATGACCAGTGTGTTCTCTTGGCAAAACTCTGCTGCTCTTTGCTTCATTCTGTACTCCGAGGCCAAATTTGCCTGTTACCTCAGGTATTTCTTGACTTCCTACTTTTGCATTCTAGTCCCCTATAATGAAAAGGGCATCTTTTTTGGGTGTAGTAGTTTACAGGTAAATTATTCCATATTCACCTGTGACACATTAGGTACTGCTTTAAATATGTTCATATCACTTTTTTTTTTTTTTTGGTCATGCCGCAAGGCTTGCAGAATCTCATTTTCCCAGTCAGGAATTGAACCCTAGCCCTTACAGTGAAAATGCTGAGTCCTAACCACTGAACCACCAGGGAATGCCCAGTACTTCACTTCTTGCTTGTATTATTTGAAAGAATTCAGTTGAAAGTAATTGTCCAGATAACTGAATTTAACTCATAGATGCTAAAACATTACAAAGTCTGTAATATTCTTCAGAAGACACTAAATAACTAAGCACAAGATTATACTTACTCCACCTATTTGACTTCTGAGAGCATTTTAGACAGAGACTGAATGTTTTATACTATCTTACTTTGTGGATTATCTTCACTCATGAAATCTCTTTGGATGAGTCTACCTCTAGTTTGGATCACATGAACAGTAGTAGTAGGCAGTGTCCAATATTAGTTGATTTAGAATCTGTAAATAATCTGTTCTTTTATCTTTTCCATGGCTCATCATGTTATAGATGAAATAGTAGTATCTTTCTTTTGGAAATCTAGTTATATGGCAAGAAGTAGCAGGCTGGACTCATAGACTTTTTAAACTGTGAATGGTTTATATTCTGATTTATTGAGATTTTCTAAAGATGTTACTGTTACTCTTGCAGAATGGATTCTAATTTAAATCAAGATGGGATGTCTAGACCATCTTATGTTTTCAGTGCTGACCCACTTGCAAGACCTTCAGAAATAAATTTTGATGGCATTAAGCTTGACCTCTCTCGTGAATTTTCCTTAGTTGCTTCAAGCACTGAGGTAAGTACAAGAAAAGAATTATGTTGATTGTCGTGATTCAGTGAAAATGGACATGTGCACACATGCACACATATACTTGTTGACAGGTATGACTAAAGGTGAGCTTTCCAAACTTTGTAGGTTTAAGACAAAGTTTTATCTCAGTAAATTTCTCATGATGCCCTAAATACATAACAGTTCCTTTCCAAATAGTAGGTGCAGACAACTTAATAACTATTTATGCCTGACCTAGTAGCCATTTGAGAAAAAATTAAATGAAAAAAGAATTTTAACATCCTTCTTCACCAACTAAAGGTTGTTTAGTAATGGGTTATGTGTGCCTTTTGGGTGCTGCACAACTTCTCAAACTTTGGAATCAGATTAGACACTGCCACCTTCATTTCCTTTTCTTCATTGTTTTGGGGTTGTACTTGCTTTTCATCACAACCAGTAAGAAATCCAGCTTCACTAACATGACATTATCAAAAGAAGTAGTGTGATTCAGTGTTGAAACCAAATTACTTCATGGTTTTCAACTTGTGTCAAGTATTGCTATGATTCTCTCAAAAATGTCAAATATTCCACTATGCCCCTGGGAACTGCAGGCCTTAGTTTAAAAAATAATGCAGATTTAAAAAAACTTAGTAGTGTTTAAGAAATAAACATTACTAAGTTTCTACCACCCTACCTATTACTATGTTTGCTGTGTTTATAGACTTTTTCTTACAAATTTACTTTCAATTTATTTATATTCTCTTTACTACAGATTAGATTAACTTTGATGCCTTAGAGATGTACTAACCCATTTTATAAAGACAGATGGAGTGGATATATGCATAGGTATAACTGATTGACTTTGCCGTATAGTAGAAACTAACAACATTGTAAATAAACTACAGTCTAATAAAAAAAAGACTGAACTCCAGTTAATGGAAACTGTGTACTTTGGGTGATAATGACGTGTAACAAAGTTACCACTCTGGTTGGGGGGGGCGGTGATAGTGGGGGAAGCTGCTTGTGGGGACAGAAAGTACATGAGAAGTTTGTACTTCCTCATGCACTTTCTCTGTCCTCAGTTTTGCTGTGAATTTAAAACCACTCAGAGTGACTTTGTTTTGTGTGTGTGTGTATGTGTGTTTTGTAAGTAAGTGGTCTAGGAACTAACACTAGCAAAAAGGCAGACTAGAATGCTCCAAGCCCTCAGTTCCCCCATGAAACATTAAAACAACAACAGTAACTAGAGACTGACTAAAATACCTTTGTGAGAGCTCTGAAAAGCAAAAATGCATAGCAACCATGTAAATACCCAATTAAAAAAAAAAAAACTGTGAAATGGTTAAAAAAAAATGATGGAAGGGGAAGAGGGAGTATAGGGAACATAGATAAAAGAATAGCAATTATTTAATACCCATTTCATGTGGCAGGCTCTTTTACTTTAGCTTATTTAATCATAAAAGAGAGAAAGGGATGGCCTGTTTTTGAACTGCTCACAAGATGTCACTGGTTTTTGCATATCTAGATGGTTGAAGAAGAAAAATCCTATTTCATGACATGAAAATTATATGAAATTCAAGTATTGATTGGTTTACTTATTTTCTAGGTCTTTTAGGTCTGCTTTTGTATCACAGTGGCATTTGCTTGCTGATGGACACATGTGTTTATAGTGTCTGGCTATTACAAACAAAGCTTTTATGAAATTTTGTATACAAATCTTTGTATGTTTCCTTTTTTTTCCCCTTGGATGAATACCTAGGATTGGAATGACTGGATCATTTTTAGGAAACTACCAAACTTTTTCAAAGTGATAATAGCATTTTATATTCCCAGTAACAGTGTGTGAGAGTTAAGTTCTTCCACATCTTCACCAACCCTTGGTGTGGTTAATCTGTTTGTTTTTAAATAGACTTCATTTTTTAGAGGAGTTTTATACTCACAGCTAAAATGAACAGAAGATACAATGATTTCCCGTATTCTCTCTGCCCCTACATAGCTTCCTTCATTGTTAACATCTCCAACCACAGAGGTACATTTGTTACAATTCATGGATGTACTTTGACACATAATCACTCAGATTCCTTACAATATAGTTACATTATGGTTTACTCCTGGCGTTGTACATTCTATTGAACAAATGTGTAATAACATGTATCCATCATTATAGAATCATACAGTGTATTTTCACTACCTTGAAATTCATCTATGTTTCACCTGTTCATCTGTTTCTCAGCCCCACCAACCATTGATCTTTTAACTATCTCCAATGTTTTGCCTTTTTCAGAATATCATATTTTAATAGTTGGGATTATACTGTCTGTAGCCATTTCAGATTGGCATCTTTCATCTAGTAGTAGACATCTAAGATTCTTCCATGTCTTGCCATGGCTTGATAGTTCAGTTGTTTTTAGTTCTGAATTATATTCCGTTATGTGGATGTTCAGTTCAGTTCAGCTCAGTTGCTCAGTTGTGTCTGACTATTTGCAACCCCATGGACTGCAGCACACCAGGCTTCCCTGTCCATCACCAACTCCCGGAGCTTGCTCAAACTCATGTGCATTGAGTTGTGATGCCATCCAACCATCTCATTCTCTGTCATCCCCTTCTCCTGCCTTCAGTCTTTCCCAGCATCAGGGTCTTTTCCAGTGAGTCAGTTCTTTGCATCAGGTGGCCATAGTATTGGAGCTTCAGCTTTAGCAATCAGTCCTTGCAACAAATACTCACTTCTTTAGGATGGACTGGTTTGATCTCCTTGCAGTCCAAGGGACTCTCAAGAGTCTTCTCCAACACCACAGTTCAAAAGCCTCAATTCTTCAGCACTCAACTTTCTTTATAGTCCCCAACTCTCTACATCCATACATGACTGCTGGAAAAACCATAGACTTGACTAGACAGACCTTTGTTAGCACAGTGATGTCTCTGCTTTTTAACATGCTTTCAACGTTGGTCATGGTTTTTCTTCCAAGCAGCAAGCGTTTTTTAATTTTATGGCTGCAGTCTCCATTCACAGTGATTTTGGAGCCCCAAAAAATAAAGTCTCTCACTGTTTCCATTGTTCTGAATTATATTTAGTTCTAATTTTAGTTTATAATTTAAACTAAATATATACTTATATATATTTGGTTATATATATGTAAATACATATTTAGTTATATAAATATATAGTTTATAATTTTAATTTAATATGTTATAATTTATAATGATGAATTTAGTTATGAATTATAGTTAGTTCTGAATTATATTCCATTATATGGATGTACTGTGGTTTATTCATTGACCTATTGAAAGGCATTTTAGTTGCTTCCTTTTGGGGAACTATGAAAAAAAATTTTATGAGCATTCGTATGCAAGTTTTCTTTGGACATAAGTTTTCAGTTTCTTTGGATAATTACCAATGAACATGATTGCTAGATTACATGGAACAAAAATATGGTTAATTTTGTAAGAAACTGTTAAACTCTCTTCCAAAATGGCTGTAACATTTTGCATTCCCACCAGCAGTGAATGAGAGTTCCTGTTGATCCACATCCTCACCAGCATTTGGTTGTCAGTGTTCAGGTACTGGTTATTCTAATAGATGTGTAGTGATAGCTCATTTTAATTTGCATTTCCCTGGTGACATACAGTGTGGAGCATCTTTTTATATGCTTATTTGTCATCTGTATATCTTATTTGATGAGATATCTGATAAGGTCTTTGGCCCATTTTAATCAGTTTGTGTTATTATTGTTATATTTTGAGAATTCTTTATATATCTTGGTTAATAGTCCTTTATTTGGTATCTTTTTTGCACATATTTTCTCCCAATCTGTGGCTTGTCTTATCATTCTCTTGATTATGTCTTTTACAAAGCATAAAATTAGTTTTAATGAAGCCCAGCTTATATGTTATTTCTTTCATAGATCATGCCTTTGGTGTTGAATCAAAAAAGTCATTGCCAAACACAGGATCATCCAGATTTTCTAGAATTTTAATCGTTTTGCGTTTTACATTTAGGTTTGTATTCTTTTTAAGTTGCTTTCTTTGACGGGTGTAAAGTCTACATCTAGGTTAATTTTTTTGCATCTAGATGTTCAGTTGCTCCAGCCCCATTTGTTGAACAGACTGTCTGCTCACTTGTGTAGCCATTGCTTTTTTGTCAAGGATCAATTGACTATATTCATGTTGATCTAGTCCACGGCTCTCTTCTGTTCCATTGATTCTGTTCTTTTGCCATGGCTATACTCTCTTGATTACTGTAGCTTTATAGTATGTCTTAAAGTTGGGTATTGTGAGTCCTTCATCTTTGTTCCTCTCTTTCAATTTCATGTTGGCTATCCTTAGTAGTCTTTTTATTTTTAGTCATTCTAATAGGTATGTATTGATAATCTAATTGTTATTTACATTTACCTAATGACCAAAGATGTTAAATATGTTTTCATGTGCTTATTTGCCCTTTGTGTATCTTCAGAGAAATGTCAATTTAAATCTTTTGCCCATTAAAAGAATTTTTTTTAAATTGAATTTTTAAGTATTCTTTATTCTGTCAGAAATATCCTTTGCAAGTATTTCCTCTATGGCTTGTTTTTTCATCCTTCAGGTGTTTTGGAAGAGAAGTTTTAAATTTTGACAAAGTCCATTTTACTGGTTTGTTCTATTATGTATTGTGCTGTTTGTGGCATATCTAAGAAATCTTTGCTTAATTCAAGGCCACAAAGGTTTTCTTCTATGTTTTTTTTTAGAAGTTTTTAGTTTTATATTTAAGTCAGTGATCTGTGACCCATTTGAAATTAATTTTTCTATACAATGTGAGGTAGGTATTCAAATTGTTATTTTTTTAAATTGTATATAGATGTCCAGTTGTTCTAGCACAGTTTGTTGAAAGAGCTATCATTTCTGTACTGCATTTCCTTTACAGCTTTGTCATAAATCAAATACTCTTGTATGTGAAGGTTTAATTTTTGAATACTCTGTATATTCTGTTTCATTTATTTATCTCTCTAGCTGTCAGTACTCCACTGTTTTGATCACTGTAGCTTTAAAATGTGGTGAACTCATGTGGTAGTGTTAGCCCATCAAATTTCTTCTTTATCAGAATTGTTTTGACTGTTCTAGGAACTTTGCATTTATCTGTGAGTTTTTAAATGAGTTTGTCAGTTAATCCCCCCAAAACATTCCTGCGATTTTTTGTTGCAATTGCATTGAATCTGTAGATCAGTTTTGGAAGAATGGATATCTTAACAATACTGAGTCTACCAAATAATGAATGAGGCATATCTCCATTTATTTTGGTCCCTTCTACTTTCTCTGAGCAATGTTTTTTAATTTTCAGTGTATGGTGTTCCCGATCTTTTGTTAAGATTTTTCTTTAATTGGTTTATAATTTTTTGAGGTTATTGGAAATTTTTTTTTTTTAAATCAAATTCTGTTTCTTCTAAGCATATATAGAAATATGACTTTTTGCATATTGGTCTTCTATCATACTACATTGCTAAACTCATTTAATAGTTCTGGTAACTTTTTTGAAGGTGTTGTCAGATTTTTAACATCTGAAAATGTAGACGTTCATGATGTCTGTGAATAAAGACAATTTTATTTCTACCTTCCCATCCTTTTCCTCTTCCTTTTTCTTCTCTTCTTCCCCTTCCCTTTCCTTCACTTCTTTCCTCCTCTCCCCCTCCTTTCACCTGATGACTTTGGCTAAAATATCTAGAACCTCTAATATAGTGTTGAATAGAGGTGGTGAAAGCAGAAATCCCTTTGTTGTTACTTATGTTGCTACTCTTCTTTGATTCAGTCTTTTGTCATCAAATATGATGTTGAGTATAGGTTCTTATACATGCTCTTTATCAGGTTAAGGAAGTTCCCTACTATTCCAGTCTGCTTGGAATTCTTATTATGAATGGATGTTGAATACGTATATCAAATTCAAGTCATTCATATGCACTTTTTTTGCATCTAGTAGTGATGAAAGTTTCTCATTTATTCTTTCAATGCACTAATTTATTTTTGAATGCCAACTTGACCTTGCACCAGGATAAGCTATTTTTTGTTAGGATATACTTTCCTATTTTATATATTAGCTAATATTTTGTTACAGAATTTTTGCCTCTTTTTTTCCTGATAGGAAACTTTTTTCAGAATATTTTAAAACAATTACATGTCAATAATAAGAAAACAGTCTAATAAAAATGGACAAAAGATTTGTACAGATACTTCACAAAAGAAGCTATACATAGGGTTAATATGGACATGAAAAGGTGCTCAACATCATTAGTCATAGTCAGTTCAGCCGCTTAGTCGTGTCCTAATCTTTGCGACCCCATGAATTGCAGCACGCCAGGCCTCCCTGTCCATCACCAACTCCCGGAGTTTACCCAAACTTCTGTCCATTGAGTTGGTGATGCCATTTAACCATCTCATCCTCTGTCGTCCCCTTCTACCTTCAGTCTATCCCAACATCAGGGTCTTTTCAAATGAGTCAGCTCTTTGCATCAGGTGGTCAAAATATTGGAGTTTCAGCTTCAACATCAGTCCTTCCAATGAACACCCAGGACTGATTTCCTTTAGGATGGACTGGTTGGATCTCCTTGCAGTCCAAGGGACTCTCAAGAGGCTTCTCCAACACCCCAGTTCAAAAGCATCAATTTTTCGGTGCTCAGGTCTCTTTAAAGTCTCTTTAAATTCCAGCTCTCACATCCATACATGACTACTGGAAAAACCATAGCCTTGGCTAGACGGACCTTTGTTGGCAAAGTAATGTCTTTGCTTTTTAATACGCTATCTAGGTTGGTCATAACTTTCCTTCCAAGGAATAAGCGTCTTTTAACTTCATGGCTGCAATCACCATCTGCAGTGATTTTGGAGCCCCCCAAAAATAAAGTCTCTCACTGTTTCCCTGTCTATTTGCCATGAAGTGATCGGACGGGATGCCATGATCTTAGTTTTCTGAATGTTGAGCTTTAAGCCAACTTTTTCACTCTCTTTCACTTTGATTAAGAAGCTCTTTTAGTTCTTCTTCACTATAAGGGAAATGCATAAATTAAAACCACAATCAGATACCACCCTCACACCCAGTAGAAGGGCGATAATGAAGTAGACTAGCCACACCATCCACGGTTTAAACTCTGGTGAGTTTACAGAGCAACTGACATGTTTATCCACTGTTTGTGGGAATAGAAGATAGTATAACACTTTGGAGAACATTTTGCCTTTATCTGATAATTATTAGGGATATTGTTATGTAATTTTTTTCTGAGGATATCTTTGTCAGGTTGTGGTATTCAGGTTATGTCAAACTCAAAATTAATTGAAAGGTGTTCTCTCTCCATTTTGTTAGTTTGTCTTTAATTTGTGTGATTATAACCTTAAATGTTTTGGAGAATTTACTAATGAACTGCCAGGTTATTGCAAATGGTATTGCTTTTTGGAGGGTTTGGAGTTTCTATATAGGATTATTTTGTTTGAATATAAGTTGAATTTCTTTAACAGGTATAGAGTTATTCAAATTTTCTTCTTGTGTCTTGTTTGGTGAATTGTGTTTTTCATGTAATTGTTTTCTTTTTACTTTTTAATATAAAGCATTTCTTTAAAATTATTTTTTAAAAAATGAATTAAGCTAATTCCTTTCTCAAAGAAGCAGTAAGGAGAATATAATACACCAAATAAATAAGTAAATAAAAGTGCATGATGGTATTGAGCATTTGGGTTAGTTGAGTATTCTGGTTACTTGTGATTTACTCTATTCTTCTGTGTTTTAGTGACTTTCAGCCCTGTTATTTGTATTGGTTATAAAAGTTATGATTTTATGCCAAAGAAGCATGTTGTAAACTTTAAATATAAATATAGAAGGCAGGAGAAATTGAATCTTTTCTGGCATTTTTGTTTTTTTAAAACAGATTTGTTTTTCTTTAAACAAATATAAAATGGATGAAAACAGAAGAGTCACTGTTTGCTTAGAGGTTTTGTATAATCTCAGATTATTCTATGACAATCAGCCACTTTAAAGAAAGGTGATACCTGAAAATCTACATTTTATATCTTTAAAATATTTTCTCCTTTTTAAGGCAAACAGTTCCGAATCTAAAGATTATCTCCAAGTTTGTCTTCGAGTAAGACCATTCACGCAGCCAGAAAAAGAACATGAGTCTGAGGTTTGTGCTGAATTTAATTTTATAATTTATTTCCATTAAGTGGGCACAATATCATCATTTTAATTTACTTGTTGTGGGTTTTTAATTATTTGTGTTCTAGGGCTGTGTGTATATTCTGGATTCACAGACTGTTGTGCTGAAGGAGCCTCAGTGTACCCTTGGTCGTTTAAGTGAGAAAAGCTCAGGGCAGATGGCACAGAAATTCAGTTTTTCCAAGGTAAGTACCCATATGAAACTGAACGTTTTTTTTTTCTTAAGCTAAATTGCTCTCTAATTGTATATAATGAACTCTGTACATCTTGTGCTTATGAAACTTAGATCTTAGGTTCTGGTATTTTTTCCTCAATGGTAGGGCTCAAATTTTAGGTGTGTAAGAATGTAATTGGAAGTGAATAAATCATTGCAAAAATTGTACAGTCTCTTTGTGGTTGGTGGAAATGTTCTTTTAAAAATTTAGATGAAAGGTTATTGCCTGGATCAGATTTCTATCGTGAAAACTTTTGGCAGTAGTTAAACTAGCAATTGTATCTGTGGGGATTGGGAATATGTCAGCTATTTTAAGAATGAGTCTTGTAAGACAGATCTTTGAAATATTAAAAATATTAAAGGGTAGAACTCGTGACTATTAACTTGAATTTTCTAAAAAGACTTGTTTTAAAAAATGCTTGTTTAGGTTTTTGGCCCAGAAACTACACAGAAGGATTTCTTCCAGGGTTGCATTCTGCAGCCAGTTAAAGACCTCTTAAAAGGACAGAGTCGACTGATTTTTACTTATGGGCTAACCAATTCCGGAAAAACTTACACGTTTCAAGGTAAATGGTTTTATTTTTGCTAGAAAGAAAAAAGGAAGCCCTAATATTTGCTCATTTTCATAGTACTTATAGTTATGTTTCCATTGCCTTGCAGATTTGCTCTGTTTTTAATAGTAAGCATATTGAATGTGTATTGCCCATGTCTTTTAAATCAGATTGACTTAATTTGTGAAACTACTTTACCCATATGATAGAGAATTACATGGTGATGAAAACTTGGAAAAAGGACTGATGTAACAAAGAATTAAGCAAAGAAAACCAGGGAAACACTTTATATTTTATATTATTTTTATACTTTGTGATAATGAATGATAGCCAGTCTTAAAACCTGATTTGAATGTAAAATTTCAGGTTTTACATCAGGCTAATAGTTGATAAATGTCAGTTATACAATGAAAACTAAAGTGATAGAACACTGAGTAATCTGCAGGTTTTCTCACTTTTTGTCTTAGTGTCACTTTGTCACTCTTGCCTATTGGTGGTATAAAAGGAGTCTTGGTAGTTCAACAATGTTTCTTTACTCTTTCTTAGTACTTTGAGAGACTGTAAAATACAAATTCTTGTCATAGGCACAGAAGAAAATACTGGCATTCTTCCTCGAACTTTGAATGTGTTATTTGATAGTCTTCAGGAAAGACTGTATACAAAGATGAACCTTAAACCGCATAGGTCCAGAGAATACTTACGGTTATCACCAGACCAAGAGAAAGAAGAAGTTGCTAGCAAAAGTGCATTACTTCGGCAAATTAAAGAGGTATGGGAGTATTTTAGCAGGTAAAATGCACATAATTGTGACCTTTTATTAGCTCTTCAGTTTGTTTCAGCCTATATTGAAATATCTTGTTGTGGTTGTTGTCTTTTCTTTATGATTAAAAGCTTTTTTGAAGAAGTTTCTTCATTTTGTATTGTACAAACAGATGAAATGTTTAAACAAAACAAATGTAAATGTTCTTTAATCATTTTAGGTTGTTGTAGAAACAACAACTTTCTATAGAATTTTTAAAAATTCCTTTTTCTATTTGTAGAAGTAATGTGTATATACACAATCTAAACAAGAGGATATGAAAAATAAAAAAAATTTCCTATAATTTCATTTCTAAAGAGAAAAACTAAATTAACAGATATGAGCATGTCCTTTTTGGTCTTTTTCTCAATATACCAAAAAAAATAAAATCTATGTACTGAGGTTTCTATGTATGTCTATATGTTGTTTAGTCGCTGAGTCATGTCTGATTCTTTGTGACCCCATGGATTGTAGCCCACCAGGCTCCTCTGTCCATGGGATTTCTCAGACAAGAATACTGGAGTGGGTTGCCATTTTCTTCTCCAGGGGAACTTCTGGACCCAGGATTGAACCTGTGTCTCCACCTTGGCAGGCGGGTTCTTTACCACTGAGCCACTGGGAAGTTCATATACACACGCAAATATAGTCATATATAAATAGTCACATATATCTTTATTTCTTTTTCTTTGTATGTGGGATAATGGTCTTTTATTTAACAAAAATAAGATTTTATTATCCAGACATTCTATAACTTGCTGTTTCATTTAACATATTGTAAATCTGTTACTACATTAATTCATGTGTCCCATCTGTTTGTTTTTTCCTTTTTCTTCTTTTTAATAATTTTTTATTAAAACATGTTTTAATAAAGTTATACTTGTCTATTTAGTCCTTCTGGATTTTGTGTTATGTTTTCACATGTTTATTCTAAGATTGTTAAAAACTATTAACAGTCCTTTTGGCTATATTGAAAACACTGATGAGGATTTGTTTTTAAATAATTTAGAAATCAGGGTTTCAAAGTAGTGTTGCTCGGTGGAGAGTCAAGTTCAGAGTCCATGAGTATGCTCTCTGAAAGTAAAATAGTATTTTAACAGGATTTGTGGAGATTGGTGGATATTTGTATAGATAATTCATAGAGGAAATTCAAGTCATTAATATTGAAAAAATTTTCTCTTAACAGTTTATCTAGTTAAAATATTATTTTGCCTATGAAATTATTAAGATAGTAAAAACATGAGATCATACTTTCTTTTTTTAAAATCTCTTTTTATTGAGTTTGCTGTACAGTATTATATGTTTCAGGTATATGACATGAGATACACACTTTCACTTCCATATATTGATTGTAAAATGTATTTCTCCAAAGCAGTTTAGCAATACTATATTATGAGTGAGAACTTGAAAAACAGTTCATATCTTTTCATCTACCAATTCAGATTAAGGTATATAGTCTAAGGGAACAATTATATTACAGAAAGAAAAAATATGCTGTTTATCTTAGTATTATTTAATTAAGTAATTTCACATCACATCTAGTCAGTTATGCAGGCACCAAATGTTTGTTAATAATTTTTAATTTATAGAGAGCTTACAATGCAATCAGTGTAGGGAAAAGAATAGATGGGAATATATTGAGATATTAATAGTAATTGCCTCTGAGTGGCAGGGATTATATATGATGGTATTCCTTTGAATATTTTCTGTAGTTTCCCCAAATTTCCTATTAGTTTGTTGAATTGAGTAGATGAAAGGCTGGTAACTTATTTGGATAGGGAATGAGTTTACTGGTTATTTAATCTTAACTAAAAATATTTTTTAACTTAATAAATCTTTTTCAGGTTGTTATGCATAATGACAGTTATGGTGCTCTTTATGGTAAGGTTTCCTTTCTCATATACTTTTAAGATGTTAATTATTTAAAGGGCTTTTAATTTTTGAATCACTTCTGGTGATTTAATTTCTTTAATGACACAGTCAATAATACTTCAAAAATGGTACATAACTATATGAAATGCCAATCACTGTAAGGTTTTATTTGGATTTAATAACTGTTACTGATTGTTAACTTCTACTGATTGTTAACTTTTATGTTGAATTCAAGAGTGGCACTATTTTTTTCTTTGTCCTTTACATTTAATTTCATTTTGGTTTATTAACATATTTGCAAAACAAAAAAGCCTCTGCTTTGGTCCAAAAAGTTTTTAACACTGCTAGTCAGAAGATTTGGATACTTAGTTTCTCAAGCTGGGAAGTCTTGGAAGATAATAAGGTAATAGCCTTTTATCTTATTTAATTTTGTGATTATCTTTTTTTAAATTTTCTGTAGGAAGTCTAACAAACTCTTTGAGTATCTCAGAGTTTGAAGAATCCATGAAAGATTGTGAACACTCGAACTTGAATATGGATATTAATAGGAAATTTTCTGTGTGGGTATCTTTCTTTGAGATTTACAACGAATGTATTTATGATTTGTTTGTTCCTGTATCATCTAAGTTCCAAAAGAGAAAGACACTGCGCCTTTCCCAAGATGTAAAGGGCTATTCTTTCATAAAAGGTATACTGATGAGTATTTTTTACTTTTTGCTTTGAAGTTTCTTTCTAGGCTTTATTATAGGAAAGCAGACTGGAAATTGAAAGTTTTTATACTATTTATTAGTATCAAGATAGTAAGAGTAGTTTGTGCTTTGAAAATATGTTTTGGTATGTTCACTAAACCTGAAGGTAAAAGGGTTTAGTATTTTGTTTCTTGAGTATTATTGATTGAATATTGGGGAATAGGAAAAGCTGTGTGTGTATATTCACATTATTCTGATGCTTGGTAACAGTATTCAGACCTTGGAATTATTTGGTATACCACAATGGTATTTTTCCAACCTTCTAAAAATCACTACCCTACAGTAGGAAATACTTAATAATGATATCATAATTCTCCACCTGCACATGTATGTGTGTGTGTGTATGTGCATATTTACAATTGAAAATTAACGTTAATTATATTTACTGTCACAATACACTGGTTTTTTTTTTTTTGTTACACTTTGGTGTTTTGTACATTCTACTTCATTTTTGCAAAATGCTAGTTATGGCTCAAGAAATTTGATTTCATGACTCACAAATGAATTGCAATCTATCTAAAATCTCATAGCTAGTTAATTTTCTAGGGTTTACTCTGTAATGTACTTTGTCTTTTTCTTTTTTTTTTCCGGATGTCTAATTCTGAGGAATCTTAACCTATTTTTAATTTTCCCTTTGGCAAACCCTGTTGAAGAACATCTACTTTTTGTGTTTATGCTACAAAATCATTATAATATCCTCATCTTGTGCACTTATTTTCTAGTGGAATATGAGATGGCTGAGTTGGCTGTACCTAGGATGTGTTATTAAAAGAAAGATTTTATTATATGTCTTTAGGAAAGAGATTACAAATCTTCAAAGAGATTACATTGTACAGCAAATGCTGTACATTTATAAATTGATATGTACCCTCTTTATTTTTTGAAGATCTACAGTGGATTCAAGTATCTGATGCCAAAGAAGCATATAGACTTTTAAAGCTAGGAACAAAACACCAGAGTGTTGCTTTCACAAAACTGAACAATGCTTCTAGCAGAAGGTAAGGAGTAAATCTTGTGGTCTAAGCCTGACCTGAGGCACCCAGGTGTTCTGTGCTCATTTGAAAGTGAAAGTCACATAGTCCTCTCAGACTCTTCGATCCCATGGACTGTAGCCTGCCAGGCTCCTTTGTCCATGGAATTCTACAGGCAAGAATACTGGAGTGGATTGTCATTTCCTTCTCCAGGGGATCTCCCCGACCCATGGATTGAGCCTGGGTCTCCTGCATTGCCGGTGGATTCTTTACCAACTGAGCTTCTAGGGAAGCCCTAGTAGCTGTGCTCATTTAAATACAACTAATTTAAGATTAAATCAGACAGTAGGTTTTCTGATATGTTAAATTAATTTGTAGACATAAAAACATTCTGTAAACTGAAGAGCACTAAACACATAAGATTATCAGGACTAATTTCTTTTTCTAACATACAATTTACTAATTTGCACTCAATGTGAAGTATTTTTATTCTTTCTATATGTGAATATCTAAGCTCAATGTTTTAATTGCCTGTAATATAGGACATTTCTCTGTGTTTTTTCTACTTATTCCATGAATATAGACACTGTATAAATACCGAGTTAGGCCAGTATTTCAAAGGGCTAAGGAAGGATGTTTTTAATGGAAGGGATTGGAGAACGAGAGACAAAAGGAAGTAAGTTTAAACAGTGAGATCCGTAAAACAGATTTTCTCTTAAAGGGGAAAGACCCGTCTCCCATGTATGGCTTAAGGACAACATGTAATCCAGATAAGCCAATATTTAGGCATCTAAGCCAAATGTATACTTTGCTTGATTCAAGTGATTAGCTATACACTATACCATTTTAATAAGTAATAACATCTTTGCAAGCAAATTGAGAGTTTATTATAAGTGACTTCATTAATAGAAGTTGGAGTGTTGAGAAGAGTAAATTTGAAGGATTTGGGGCTAAGTGAAAGAAAGCTGAGCTCTTTGGTTTTAGTAGTCGAGCGTTAATGTGGGTGACAGTGGAACACTAAATTGCGATACCCGACAGCTCGTTGCAGATGTAGTACTGTAATGATGGCTGGTGTAGGATAAAAAATAGATACTGATTTAGATGCTTGCCTCTCCTATTTAGGATGCAGAAATAAAGAATGAGTGTTGATATTTAATCTTTGTTTATTTCTTTTAGTCACAGCATATTTACCATTAGAATATTACAGATTGAAGATTCGGAAATACCACATGTAATACGAGTCAGTGAGTAAGTTGAGCATTTTTTAAATTGTAATGATTATTTTGAACTTTTTTGTTTTGAAGAAATTTTTTAAAGTTTTTTTCCTCTGGTTAATTTAGATTGTCTTTATGTGATCTTGCTGGCTCAGAACGAAGCATGAGGACCCAGAATGAAGGTGAAAGGTTAAGAGAGACTGGGAACATCAACACTTCTTTATTGACTCTGGGAAAGTGTATCAGTGTTTTGAAGAACAGCGAAAAGTCAAAGTAAGCTTTGCTGAATATGTTATCAGCATATCAAGGATTATTTTAACAATATTTAAACTTTCAGCTTTGCTAGTTTAAGAAAGTTCTTTTGTTTTTAACTTGCTTCTTACGTAATGACTAGGAATGGATTATAATTAAAATTTCTTAGAGATCTTGGATTTAAAAAATGATAGAAATGAAAATCATTATCAGTCAATGCCAGTGACTCAGGTAAACACAGTATTTTCTATAGCAAATATGTATCAACTGACAACTTAGATAATAAGCTTCTAATGCTGGTTTATTGACAGACTTTGAAGCCATATTATTCTTATTAATGCATTATGGTTTTCTAGATGTGATAGATTTCTGTATTAACTAGCATTTTAGGCTAAGTAAATGATAAATCCAGCCTTTACCATTTTCTAGTTATGGTGTATATATTGCATAATTGCTATACACTAGAGAACATGCTTACTCCTTGGAAGGAAAGTTATGACCAACCTAGATAGCATATTAAAAAGCAGAGACATTACTTTGCCAGCAAAGGTCCGTCTAGTCAAGGCTGTGGATTTTCCAGTGGTCATGTATGGATGTGAGAGTTGGACTGTGAAGAAAACTGAGTGCTGAAAAATTGATGTTTTTGAACTGTGGTGTTGGAGAAGACTCTTGAGAGTCCCTTGGACTGCAAGGAGATCCAACCAGTCCATCGTAAAGGAGATAGGTCCTGAATACGCATTGGAAGGACTGATGCTGAAGCTGAAACTCCAATACTTTGGCCACCTGATGTGAAGAACTGACTCATTGGAAAAGACCCTGATGCTGGGAGGGATTGAGGGCAGGAGAAGGGGAAGACAGTGGATGAGATGGCTGGATGGCATCACCGACTCGATGGACATGAGTTTGAGTAAATTCTGGGAGCTGTTGATGGACAGGGAGGCCTGGCGTGCTGTGATTCATGGAGTCACAAAGAGTCAGACACGACTGAGTGACTGAACTGAGAGAACACAACCCACTTCATTGTGATTTCCTTTACATTTTGCCTAGTTGGTTATTACTATCAGTATTAATAATAATAGCAGTGTTTAGAGAAAACAACATGAATAAACAGAAAATGACTAGTACAAATGAAACTAATCACTAACCTAGAATTTAAGTCAATGGTTGTTATGTTATTTCTTTGTAAAATTTATCAGTATCCTGACTTTATGAGATTCGTTTTAACTTTTAATTTTTTGAAAATTTTTTTCATAGGTTTCAACAGCATGTGCCTTTCCGGGAAAGTAAATTGACCCACTATTTTCAAAGTTTTTTTAATGGTAAAGGGAAGATATGTATGATTGTCAACATCAGCCAATGTTCTTTTGCCTATGATGAGACACTCAATGTGTTGAAGTTCTCAGCCATTGCACAAAAAGTAAATATAGCTAAATTTCAGAATTTGTTAAGCTTCGTATTATTAGAGTAGTAATGATTTTTTTTCTTAGAGTGGATAATACATTTTGCACTTACAGCTGTAAACCTAGAAAATAATTGAAAATTAACAATGTAATATTTGAGTATTAGGCATAGGAAAAAAATGGAAAGTTACCCCTGCTTAAGAGTAAAATGACCTCAGCAATAACTAACGTACCCGTTACAGATTGCAGATATGCAGCGAATTACATGCTCCGTTGTCCATCTGGCTAATCAGGAAACCCCCTGCTGGGGAATGGTACTAAGGAAAGAACTTAACCCAGGAAAGTAGATTTATCTGTAGTATACATGTGTAATTAGCTTTTTTCTTATCAAATATGTATTTGAGTGTCCTAATTCCTTTTTGTATATTTGTATAGATTTTTGTTTTTAATTCTCAAGTTGTCATTTGACTTAAATTTATAATTGTTTTTTCTTTGCTGACAGTTTCTGCCTTTGTTTTAAAAGTTACATTGCATATTTTACCAGGTTTGTGTTCCAGATATTTTAAATTGCTCTCAAGAGAGATCATTTGGGCCTGTCAAATCTTCTCAAGATGAATCATTAGATATTAATAATTCAGATAATAAAATACTAAATGAAAAAAGATCCACGATTTCATGGGAAAGTAGTCTAGAAGATGTGGTGGAAGATGAAGATTTGGTTGAGGATCTAGAAAAAGCTGAAGAAAAGCAGAATGTGGAAACTGAATTTACTGATGAAGATCTAGATAATACATTAGAGGATGATAAGGCTTTCAGTAGCCATGCGGGGAAGAGAGTATGTATTAACTCATACTTCTAAAATTGGCTTATTTATTATTCTGAAGTTATGGTTAGTAACTCTTAAGGCTCTTTCTCCCATTTTTTTCCAACAATACACTAAGTTTATCTTTCATTTACATGTTTTGAAAATTTTCATACCCATAGAAAGAATAATATAATGAATACTCATTTGTACTTCATCTGGATTTGCCAATTGTTAACATTTTGCCATTTTTATATTCTCTTTCTGTGAGTGTGAATACACATCTTTTTTGCCTATACCATTTGAAAACAAGATGAAGACATAATGACACCTTACAACTAACTACTTCATCATGTTTCTCAAGAACATGGACGTGTTCCTCACAATCAAAAGGCCATTTTCATACCTAAGCACTTACACATTAATACAGTAACGTAGTGTTGTATTGTCCATATCAAGATTTCTCTAGTGGTCCCACTATTTCCTTTCATAACCACTTTGTTTTTGATCTACAACTCAATACATTGCGTCTGATTATCATGTTTCTTTAGTTAATCTCTAATCTATCATAGATATTTTTGAAACTTTGTGATTAGTTGTCTTGTAGAAAACCTCCAGTCTGGATCATCTTATATAACCTGATTTAACACTTTAAGAAGGTGTAACACTTTAGGCAAGCCTGTTACATATGTGAAGTTGTGAATTTCCCATTGAGTCACATTAGGAGGCAGACAATGTCTGATTTCTCCATTTTTGGTGAAGCAGAGTTTTGGTTAACTCGGTGTTGTGTTTCAGATCTCCTTTCATTGTTCCCCAGTATCCTTTCACCCTGTGATTTTAGCATACTCCTCCAAAATTTTACCTTGCAGTCTTAAGTACAAGAGTACAAAATGTGTGCCTAGTACTGATTATTCTATTTATTCAAAACAGAAATCGCTTGATCATCTTACATTTATGGAAACAAATAAGATTTATTGGTGTTTCTTATAATTTCTGTCCAAATAAAATTCATACATATATTTAAGTTTCATTAATCCTGAAATACGGCTTCCCAGGTGGCTCAGTGGTAAAGAATTCACCTGCCAGGGTAGGAGATGCAGGTTTGATCCCTGGGTCAGAAAGATCTCCTGGGGAAAGAAATGGCAACTTGCTCTAATATTCTTGCCTAGAGAATCCCATGGACAGAGGAACCTGGCAAGCTACAGTCCATGGGGTTGTAAAGAGGCAGACACGACTGAGTGAGCACACATGCACACAGTTCTGAAATACAGATCCTGTCCACGTTACTGGTTCCCCTCATTAACTGACTTCAGTGGTATTGACGCATCTGACATCAGAATATTCTTTCAGACTGTAGAAATTTAAGTAGATCATTGATATATTAAGTTAAATACTCTCATCTTAATAGTTTATTCCAGTGTCCCTGAAAGCCATTTTGTGCCTTTGTTGCTTAGAAATGAAGATGAAAGCTTCAGATGCCATTAGTCCTAGTATATCTGCTCACTATGTGATTGAACCTGGTTTACCCTGGATCTCTGTAATGTAGTACTTCCCTCAGTGAAAAAGTAGGCTAAGTCATTAATAGTCGTAATTTAATATTTTTATCTCAAAACTGAAGTTTATATATCAATATGATGTTCATTAAACTTATTATGTTAGTAGTCTATGAATTTATATAGGAAAAATAATGCCATTTATGTAGGATTATATCGTGTAAATGCATATCTTATAATATTGACTGCTGCTGCTGCTGCTGCTGCTGCTAAGTCACTTCAGTGTCCAACTCTGTACGACCCCATGGACTGCAGCCCACCAGGCTCCTCCATCCATGGGATTTTCCAGGCAAGAGTACTAGAGTGGGGTGCCATTGCCTTCTCCAATAATATTGACTAGGTACTTCAAAATTAAAATTCTCATCCAAGTTTTTTGTAATACTTCTCAAAATGAAAATGATTAGGCTTCTCATGCTTTACATTGTTAGCATTTTATTAATTAGAGGGTCGTCAGTATTGAAGATCATTATGAAATGTATTAAAAATCATTATGAAATATATTGATAGTAACATGTTTATGCTTAAAATTCGTTTAACTTGAATAACTAACCAGAATTTTTTTCATTCAATACTTTATCAGATACTAACAGTGATAGAAAACTAGTTGTTGTTGAGACTTACTGAAAGAAACCAATTTCCCAAGGTATTCCCACATTCATACAGATTTCTCTTGAGTCTCCCACATTTCTTCTTCAATGTGAAAAGTGAAAGTATTAGTAAGTCCCGTCTGACTCTTTGTGACCCCATGGACTGTGCCTGCCAGGCTCCTCTGTCCATGGGATTTCCCAGGCAAAAATTCTGGAGTGGCTTGCCATTCCCTTCTGCAGAGGATCTTTCCCACTCAGGAATTGAACCTGGGTCTCCTACATTGCAGATGGATTCTTTACCATCTGATCCTTTAGAGAAGCCCCTCTTCTTCAATAGTTACTATTAAATATTTATTGTTTTAAACAGTGGGAAAAGTCTGTGGTTATTTAAAATGATAAAAGTATTATATAATCATGATAGAATCTAGAAAAAAAGAAAAAGGGAAATAAATATAAATGTGTCTAAATCTACTGGTCATGTTAATAGATTTTTACTCTTTGTTACAATATTGTTAACTGATTTTCTTCATTTAAAAATTGTGGAAATTATGAATAGTAAATATGTCATCATAATCCATTACAGTAGTTTTACTGTATGATGGTACCATAGTTGAACCCATTTCTTAAGTTTGACTGTTGAGTTGCATTTTACTTTTTTGTTTACATAAAACCACTCATTGCAAAAAACACAGTGACTATTTTATAGCCAAAATATAAAATTATTTCCTCAGTAGAAGTTCTTAGAATTTCAAAGGCAAGATATCTGTAAAATATTTTCAAGTATAAAATTGATAAAATGAAAGATCTGTAGCTTTGAGAGTTTATTAGTTTATTATTGAGAAACTTTAATTAGAAACCTTAAAAAAGGCTATCAGGCTCTTTTCTTGACCGCTATAATTTACATACCTATACTGGCTATAATGTCAAATTTTAATTGTTTTATTGTTTATTGTCCATATTACATGATTAATTATGTGTGTGCTTTCAAAGACAGAGTTGTTGCTTACATTTGGATAGTCATAGAAACCCAATAAAATATGTAATATCTCCCTTTGCCATTTTGAAAACTGGGGATTCGCAGTAACTGCTCTGTGTAACATGTCAACTTTATATTTTGACAGACTAACGTTAAACTCAAACTTAAGCATTTACCACAGACTTGGTCCTTACTTTCCCTACCTAGGAAATTTGAGTGCTCCTACTAAGTATAAAAAAGATTGTGTGGATTAAATGAAATAAAATATGAACTCCCCAAGGTAGTTCCTAGTAGATAATAGATGCTCAAAGTTTTTTTTCTCTTCATTCTCTGTGTAACCAGATACACATTGAACTATGTCTGTTTCTAAAATGTGGTGAGACGAACTTGATTTTTCACATTAATGAATCTCTGCATGTACATAGTTTCCAGTGAAAATACTATCTGTATTAAAAGGAAACATAATAATTTAGTAATGAAATGAAAAAGTTTTATTTTTAAACACATGGAATATCTTTCTCTTGGAATTTATTTGCTTTTTAATTAGAATTTTAATGTTTATATTTTAGAAACTTTTGGATTTAATAGAAGATTTGAAAAAAAAACTAATAAATGAAAGAAAAGAAAAGTTAACATTGGAATTTAAAATTCGTGAAGAAGTTACACAGGAGTTTACTCAGTATTTGGCCCAACGAGAAGCTGACTTTAAGTAAGTTGTATTTACTTATGAAAAAAATTTTTTTTTGCTTTTTTATATTAGATGACTTCCAAACTCTAACCTTTATGCAAGCTTGAAAATAGCTATTACTAATCCCATGGTGATTGTGAATTATATATGAGTGATTATTTAAATTGACTTTTAATTTATAGGTCTTTTTATTTACTGTCTGATGGTAAAGAATCCGCCTTCAATGCAAGAGACCTGGGCTTGATTCCTGGGTCGGAAAGATCCCCTGGAGAAGGAAATGGCAACCCACTTCCGTATTCTTGCCTGGAAAATCTCATGGACAGATGAGCTTGGTTGGCTAGTCAGTGGGGTCGCAGAGAGTCTGACACGACTCAGCTACTAACATTTTCACACTTTCACTTTAATTTATAATGTGCTTTATCTTAGAAATTTAAAATAAAAATGTAGTGGTTTTTCTGTTTCTTAATGGGATTAATTTCTGTTACGAAGGGAAACTCTCCTTCAGGAGCGAGAAATTTTAGAAGAAAATGCTGAATGTCGTTTGGCTATTTTCAAGGATTTGATTGGTAAATGTGATACTCAGGAGGAACCAAAGAATGAAGATCACACCATGAAAGATGAAACTGAAGTATGTTAACTGAAATATTAAATACATGAACTATAGGTACCAGATTTAGTATATGACATCAATGATAATTTAATATACTTCAGAATTTTAAAAAAATGTGACTTTATTATGAGTAAGTGTGCTTTGTTAGGAATGTAAACACAAATAGTTAAAGTATAGCTATTGAACTTAGAAAAAAATACCTTTTACATTTATATCTCAGTTTGATGTGGCTTGAGTCATTGTGTAGTTTGTAAGTAGATTGCTTTTTGTCTGATTATGGGATACCCACTCAGATTTGTTTTAAACTTAAGAATTTTACATCTTGGCTGACAGACCTGTAGGGTCATTTAATTCTGTTCTGATTAAAACAAAAATATTTATATATAGAAAAATCACTCTTGCTTGGCTGAATAACCATTCTCTATTGTTGAGGAAATGTTTTTCTCTTCTGCTGCTTCTATGGAAGCTGAAATTAATCACATCTTTTTGGAATGGTTGGTTGTTTTTGTTTTGCTCTGTTTTTTAATTACTCAGTTCAGAGGTCCAGGATGATAATGTCTAGGCTCTTGCCGTCAAACCATCATTCTGTGTCCCTGATATAGTTTGGGATTTAGTCTGAATCGTGAAAATGAGGATTTGTTTCTTCAGCTCAACCAAAAGTCTTTTAAAGACTCATTATATGACTAAGAGTATACCTGAACTAGATAATTATAATTGTTCTGTAAACTCGGTAAGACATTGTTCTTATGGAGAAATAATGTCTCATGTTCCATAAAATAGAAGATGATTAATGGAGCACATCTTTTTCATAATTGGAGCTACTTCTATATAAGAAAACATAAACATGTCTATAGTCACCTAATAGAAAAACATAAATATGTTTAAAAAATTGTAAGTTGTGCATTTGTTTTCCTATTTATTTTTAAAACATGCTAGATGGTACCACACTGAAGTAGTGAAAGCCACTGTTAACATTAGGCATGTGGTTTTTGCTATTTTTAGGAAGGACATAATTATGTAGGAATTGAAGATATTATTGATTCTCTTCAAGATGATGTCACTGGTATTAAGAAACAGGCTGAAATTGCTCACTTATATATTGCATCTCTTGCTGACCCCCAGGAAGCTATTGCTTGTTTAGAAATAAAGTTTAATCAAGTTAAAGCTGAATTAGCTAAAACCAAAGAAGAATTAATCAAAACCCAAGAAGAGTTAAAAAAGAGAGAAAGTGGTAAGTGGTTGTTTTATATCCCTATGTAGATGTTATAAATTCTTAAAAAGACAGTAAGTATGAGATTTATGCAGCTTATTTACCAAGTGGTCAGAAAATGATGGAGGTGACATTTAATATTTTACCATTTGTATGAGTTTACAGTAATTTGTTAGTAAAAATATATTTTTGCTTTTCTTTACTTTAAGACTAATATTACTAGAAAATAGACTTTCAGGAAAAACCAAAACCTAAGTATAGCTTTATCAGCAAATTAAGAAATCTCATAGGAAATTGTAAAGCTGTAAAGTTTGTTCATTTATATGTGTGTGTGTGATGGTGGGGAACTGGGAGGGATTGTCACATCTGAGTTTCAAGTATTAGATGAAATACTCTGCCCTTTTCTGTGTGAAACAAGATGGGTGGAAAATAGCAGATAAGTGATGCCTCATTATGAAGTGGGTCAGAAAGGTATAAGCTGTTTCTCTTCTGACATTATTCCAGAAATTTTCTACTATTGAGCAGACAGCATTCATTTTTGCCCTGGATTTTGAAAGTGGCTCTTTCAGAAACATTACTTTCTGGTGGTAGAATTTGTAGCTGTTTGTGTGCTTCTAGTGCTGTGAAAATTCTTTTTCCTGAGTATAACAATGAAGTGTCTACTGTAGCAGCTTATGTTTCATGTTTATTTAGCGATTTATTTTTTTAGGTACTTAGATGTTTATTTTTAATATTCTTACTTTTTCAGAATCAGAAATTAATTTAAATTCATTGGTTCAAGAGCTTGAGAAATCTAATAAGGTAATGCTTTTAAGCTTTATTTTATCTTATAAGAAAATTAATAAGTAAAATAGACAGCATGAATAATTGATGAGCGTATAAGTGCCTTCACTCTCATACCTTTTTCCACATATGGTTTCTGGAAAGTTTCTTTGGTCTTTCCAGAAAAGATTTTATTTGTATATGTGTAGATATACGTGTATGTATGTGTGTAACATACATCTATTAAAAAATTTATACGAATAGGATTGTAGTTCTGTGTCTTGCTTTCTTCCCTTAGAAGGCATCTTAGATCTGTATGTGCTGCCAGAGAATCATCTCTATGTCATTCTTTTACCAGGTGCATTGTGTTAAGTAGATTATTTAAATAGCATTTATCTTGTCTGAAGTTACTGTTTTAAAATTTAGGATATGGCCTGATCAGTGTGCAGCATCAGAATCTGAAAATCTCTAGCACTTTATACCTTCAGATCAGATAATTACTGTAAGTGGTTGTAGATGGATTTGGCATTGTTAGATCTAAGTATGAAATTGCAGGTATACATAGAGGTGAAGTGAATTTAAAACTCTAAACTTAGTATTTTTCCTGACCTTCTCTGAACTTACATTTGTTCTTCTAAAGAGCTGAATATTTTAACATATGATCAGATATAAATAATTCAAAATCTTGGCATCTAATACCCAGTACTTAAGAAGATAACCAAAATAATGTACTCGATACAAGACATTTTAGCTATTGTTTAGACAGTTCCTATTCTCCTCCTTTTCTTTTATTTTTTCCTATTTATAAAAATAGCTGCTGATTGTAAACATACTGTTATATTAAACTATAAAATAGAAGGTACAGTAGTCCCCCATAATGTCTCTCTTACATTGAAAACAAATCCAAACCGACTTGGTTGATAGCTCTTTGAGATTATTTTATGTATATACACATACACACACGTACAAACATACATGTATTTTTTATAGAACATTTTCTATGAACTCTTTTAAGTTCTTTAGTTGTTTAAGTCTCAGAACAACCTTATGATGTAGATACTGTTATTTTTTTTTACGTAGGCGTTAAATAACTTGCTTGGGGTTCACAACTGGAAAGTAGAGAAGCTAAGATTCAAACCCAGATCATGTGACTTCTGATTCCTCTTACCCATTATGAAACATTGCTTCTCTTTCCTTTTGTATTTAGGCATGTTGATTTTTTAAATGAAAATAAAGTCATGCTATGCATAGTGAGTTGCTATTTTTTTTTTTTTTTGCCTAACCTTAAAATTTGAAGGAATTCTAAACTATCATATTTGCATTCTAGTTATCCCCAAAGTACATTCACTAAACTTTTTTTCCTTCCCAAAGAAAATAATTATGCAGAATCAAAGAATTCAAGAGTTGATGGATAAAATTGACCAAAAAGAGGATACTATTAACAAGTTTCAGAACCTAAAATTTCATATGGAAAACACATTTAAAGGCAGTGTAAGAATCTAACTTTATTTGTGTTATAAATTAAATAAAGAATATGTTTGGTTTGGTTTAAAATAGTTTAAAATAGCTTATACAACTGAGACTAATTCACTAAGAATGTTGACTTGCTTATCTTGGCATTGAATTCAATTCACTATCATGCCAATATGAATTTTTGAGAACTTAGAAGGTGGCAGTTTGATCTCCACAAACTAAACTGGGAATGCTTTGTGCATAAGAGGGACAAGACTGTGTAGCCCTTAGAAGTTTAAGCCTCAGCAAACTGTATGGGGAGCTCTGGGGTGAAAGAAACTTAGATGTGCTTTGATATCCACAGACCATAAAGATCTCTGTCTCTGTGTAGCTCTACTCTATTGATACATCTGTCTATATCTGTACGTCCATCTCTATGGAACTATAAATAACATTAGGTTTTAGAAGCTTGTTTCTATTTTATAAATTTTGTCAAAGTTCATATGTTTAATAGCAGGGATATTTTCTTTTAAAAATTACATTATTAACTATAGCATATAAAGCCTTTATGGGCTTGTCAGGGCTCAGCAGTGAAGAATCCACTTGCCATGCAGGAGGTATGTATTCTCTCCCTGGGTTGGGAAGATCCCCTGCAGAAGGAAATGGCAACCCAGTCCAGTGTGTCTTACCTGATGAATCCCATGGACAGAGGAGCCTTGTGGGCTACACTCCATACTGTTGCAAAAGAGTTGGACACAACTCAGTGACTAGAAAACAAACTACAACATTTTAAGGGTTTTTAAGTAGCCTTTCATAAATAGAAATTTAGGTAATTTTATATTTAGGTAGTTTAGGATTGGATGATCAGTCTTTTAGTCATTTTTTTAATTAAACAGTGGTTTTTGGCTTTCTTTTATATTCATTTTTTATTGCAGGTACCTTCAAATTATTTTTTGACATAATGTTAATAACACAATAGGTTGAGTAAATTAATAGCTAAAATTCTCTGCTTTTTTATGTCTTTTCTCTAACAGAGGCAAGTGTGGTATACAGTAATTCCCTTTTATCTGCAGTTTCAGTTTCTGTGGGTTAACCATGGTCAGAAGGATTAAATGAAAAATGCCTGAAATAATTCATGAGTTTTACATTGTGTGCTGTTCTGAGTAGTATGATGAAATCTTATGCCATATTGCTCCATCCTTCCTGACCTGACTCATCCCTTTGTCTAGCATATCCTTCAACTAATGTTGAAGCTCCAATACTTGTTTATCAGATTGTCTGTTGTTGGTATCATAGTGCTGTGTTTGAGTAATGCTGATTTTGCTTAATAATGCCCCCAAAGCAGAAGAGTAGTGATGCTGACAATTTGAATATGTCATAGAGAAACTATAAAGTGCTTTGTTTAAAAGTAGAGGTGAAAATTCTCAATAAGGAAAGAAAAAAATTGTATGCTGAGGTTGCTAAGATCTATGGTAAGAATGAATCTTCTATTTGTGAAATTGTGAAGAAGGAAAAAGAAAATTTGTGCTAGTTTTGCTGTTACACCTCAAGCTGCAAAAGTTATGGCCATAGAGCATAAGTGCTTAAGATGTAAAAAGCATTAAATTTGTACAAGATAATTTTGAGAGCAACAGAGGCTGAATTCACATAACTTATTATGGTATATTGTTATCATTGTTCTATTTTATTATTGTTAATCTCATTCTGTGCTTAATTAAAAAAAAAAAATTACTTGGCTCTGCCAGATCTTAGTTGTGGCATGAGGGATCTTTAGTTGCAGCATGTAGGATCTAGTTTCCTGACCAGGGATCAAACCTGAGTCCCCGACACTGGGAGCAGGAAGTCTTAGCCACTGGGCCACCGGGGAGGTCCCTGTGCTTAATTTTTAAATTAACCTTTAAGCATGTACTAAACTTTGTAGGCATGTACAGGAAAAAGCATAGTGTATATAGGATTCAGTATTTCCATGGTTTCGGGCAACTGCTAGGTCTCAGAATGTATTCTCTACAGGTAAGTAGGGACTACCGTCTTATAAAATGTTACATTTGACCCTTCTTTGTGTCTTTAGAGTTGAAAACCAGTAACCACAACTTTTTCTGTATCATCTCAACATCAGATAGGTTTTTGATTCTATAAGGGTAAATAAGGAACATTCTCTAGAGAAACATAGCTCATCCTCTGTCTAATTTCTTGTAACAGACCTCTCTTTTGGCATTTATTAGATGCATTATTCATTCCATCTGACTTTGTCACTTCTGTTGAATACATTATTGTAAATTAATAATTATATTAACAGTTTAGAATTTATGTTAATATAGTTATCAACAAATTATATTGGTAATATAATTAATAATTATATATTGTTGGATTTTTTTCACATCTGTTATATGTATTATTGTTTAACTTTTCTGAACTGGGAGAAATACCCCTGTAGTAAGGTAGAGAGTTAGGAGGAGAATCATAGAATGATTTATTTTGTCAAGAAAAACTGAGATTCTGTGTGCCAGGTGCTCTGCTAGATTCTAGGCATTACACAGATTAATAAAAACTACTCCCCTTAACAACTCCCCTGTAAGAGAAAACCAACATAAATGTATTTATAATGAAATGTGCAGTGGTAGTTAATGTGTACGAGAAGCTGAGAATAGATAGGGTTTGAGAGAATCTATTTTGTGCAGATGAAAATGATTAAGTTGAATCTTAAATGGCAAGTGAAATTTTTCTAGTCCAAAGTAGGAGCAGTTGGTGGGTCTGAGGGACAAGAAGATACGCTGGCTTTCTAGATAAAAGAATCAGAATGCACAGTCATGGACATATGAGAAGCCTTTCAGTCAGTGTAAGAAAGTGTAAGTTTTAATAATTTGCTCAAGAAGAAAGTTTGAAGCAGGAGAGGTGAATAATGATGCTAGGAGCAGTAGACTGGGGTAAGATAGCATATGTGTTAGTCGCTCAGTTGTGTCTGACTCTGCGACCCCATGGACCACAGCCCTCCAGGCTTCTCTGTCCATGGGATTGATTCTCCACTCAAGAGTACTGGAGTGGGTTTGACATTTCTTTCTCCAGGGGATCTTCGTGACCCAGGGATCAAACCCGGATCTCCTGCATTGTAGGCAGATTCTTTACCATCTGAGCCACAGGGAAGCAGAAGGCCTTGAATACTTCATTAAAGCAATTGGGTTGTATTCTGTAGGCAGCAAGGAGTCATTAATTTTAAGGAGAAGAATAGCAAAGTTAATTTTTTGAGTTGATATTTTTAGAAACTTGGAAGATGGGATTGAGGTGGAATTAGAATGAAGGCTGGTAGACCAACTAGAAAACTCTTTGAAAAGTTCAGGTGATAGTTGATGAGGACTTTGATTTAAGGTAGTTGGGTAGTGGAGGTGATTTAAGGTAGCTGGGTAGTGGTGGTATGGATTAAGAAGTGGAAATTGATTTGTGAAATAAAAGGAGATAAAACTTTTTACAACTTAGGGCTTTTGACTTTTTCAAGTAAATGAATTGCTGGACCTCCAGGCTCTTAGCATTTTGAGATGATTATTTGCCACCTGTTTTTGTTCTGAGTGAGTGAGTGAAAGTTGCTCAGTCTATCTGACTTTGCAACCTCATGGACTATATAGTCCATGGAATTCTCTACGTCAGAATACTGGAGTGGGCGGCCGTTCCCCTCTCCAGGGGCTCTTCCCACTCAGGGATCGAACCCAGGTCTTCCGCGTTGCAGCTGGATTGTTTACCAGCTGAGCACCAGGGAAGCCCAGGAATCCTGGAGTGGATAGCCTATCCCTTCTCCAGGGCATTTTCTGACCCAGGAATCGAACTGGAGTCTCCTGCATTGCCTGCGAATTCTTTACCAGCTGAGCTCCTAGGACTTGATCTGAATTTTAAGTCCAGCCTTAGATTTGTTAAAGGTTAAGAAAAAAACGGAAAACAAATCAGAAAAAGAGAAGCCAGAGATAGATCATTTCTAGTGCCTACAACTTTGAAGAAGATTGTTGGAATTTTAGCAGGGGATTATATCTATTTCTGTAGTATGTTTACATATCACATAATGTTAATAATGTTTATGTAAATAATAGTAAAAAAGAAATATAAAGTAAGCAATATTCTTAATTTAATAATCCTTGCCTTTGAGTAAATTTTTTAGATAGGCTCTAGACTGTTTTATCAACTGACTTAAAACAGTGTGCTAATTAAATTGTTCACATAAATAAACAAATGCAAAGTAAATTAGAACTTAACCTGACTGTGTTGATCAACTGTTGATCTAGGGTCACTGTTCCAAAGAGTCCAGAGCAGACTCTTTTAATGATTAAAAGTTTGTTTTGAATGGTTCTTTAGCATCCTTCCTACCAAGAATACTCTAGGCAGAAAATATTCCTTTCAGTAACTGACACTTGTGGAGGATAGATTTTTTTCTTGGTGAAGATTGTATAATTTGAAGAGGAGAAAAATGATTAGGTGATTATAATACGTCTGAATGTGGAAGGGGGGACAACTTAAAATTGTCATGGACTGTTTGAAAACTCAGACTTTGTCAGAGGTCTGATTCCTTCATCCCAAGACATTGTCACTTATCAGTGACACCAAGGGACTAATTGTGAAAAAGCATGAAGGTTGTTCTTCATGATATTCTTTGTTTAGGGCTATCTAAAAAGACTGCTTTTTTTTTTAATCATTACTTTATGACTTAAAATCATTTTAATCTATATCTCTTAACAAAGTGATGATTTTCTAATATAAAATGGTGTTTTATTTTCTCGTATAGTTTTACCCACCACCTACCTGCCCCCCACAAATGGATTGCTACCAGTATGTAGGGATTTAATTAATCTCTGCCTTTCCCAAACCTTTAATTACTTTATAAACATGCACTTAATTGCTAAGGTTTCACCCTTCTTTCTGTGTACCTTTCTGCTGTCCTATTAGGGAGGTGTAGTCTTTGCTTTAAAAAATGAAAATCTAAATGTTCTTTTTCATCTAGATAAACTAGGAGCTCAGTTTTAAAGCAGTATGTAGATTGTGTATCTTTGAATATACAAAGGCTAGAAGCTAAGATTAGAACTTTTTCTGGGATTTGTTAAAGTGTAGGACATGGTTACTTTGAGCTTTGGTTGCAAAACAAAATGATGTTTTCTAGTTATTCATGATTACTCAAAATTTTAAGTGAAAGTATAAGGAGCAATTATGTCATAGTGTTTTCCTATTTCTCTTTTTCAAATCTCATTTTGTTTATGATTTAGAGGTCAGTGTTTTAGGTTGGTTATCTGCAAATAAGTCTCTAACCCACCTGATCTTCTTAGAAAATATAAAGATGAATTTGTTTTTAGTTTTGGTATCAGGATGAAACTACACACTTCCTTTTTGTTTTTTTGGGGGTCCTCCTTAGTGATTTTACAAGTTAGTTAATATTACTTATTTCATAGAGTCATCAGTTATTTTAGTGTAGGGTGAGACTTAGGAAATAACCTAGAAAATGTCTCAACAAACTTGAAAATACAATTTTTATGATGCAGTATTGAATTTTAATTTATATAGTTCTTATAGCTTTCTATATGTGAACTAATTTTAATTTACTTTACTTTAGGACAATGTTGGTAATTCTTCTTTAATAATAAACAATAAATTGGTTTGTAATGAAACGACTGAAATGTCTAAGGACAGCAAAATTAAAACGTATTCAGGAAGAAAAAGATTAAATGAAATTGAACTTCAACAAGATGAACCACCAGCAAAGAAAGGTACTTCTTCAGCTGCTAACCGGAGGCCATTGAGAAAGCTAACTCCTAAACCAGTAAACGCAAAAGTTGCAAATAGAAGGAAATTTACTTATCTAAGGAAAAAACCTGAGAAAATCTAAATGTCACTGATTTTTACACTAACATGTTATAAACTATCTAGAGGATGCAAGTATTTAAAGCTGCCTTTATTTTAATGTTTTTAGATGTTATGCTCTTATCAATTTAGCATCACGATAATTCTCTTATTCCTGTGCCTGTCATAATTGAAAGTCACCTTTTCTGCCAAAATTTCTCCACACTTTTTTTCCTCTTTATTCTTTTCCATTTGAAGAAAAGGCCATTTGACAGGAAGACTTTGAGCTAAACATTACAAAAGGCAAATGTGGTCAAGTTGTGTTTTCTATGAAACTACTAGAAAGAAAGTGTGTGCTAAGCTTACTCACTTTATGCTGTACCTTCCTGGCTATGTAGAAGAACATAACAGCTTTCACTTTGCCTCTAAACTATTCTGTCTTTAGGAAAACTTTTATAATATAATACAGAGAAGGAAGGCTCTCTAAGAGAACATATATTACTTTAGAAACCTAATTAGCTGCTTCATCTTGAGAAAAATGAATAAATTAAGTCTTGCTTTGTTTATTAGTAAAATAAGTTAAATATACTTGCCTCCTAAGGTTGTTAAGAATAAAAACAATTGGATAATACACCAATATAATAAAAACTTCATAGAACCTCAGTAAAAGTAATGTGTTCAAAAGTAGTTGACTTAAAGGATTAATATAGCATTAGCTATATTAATGTAATAATTTATGAGCTAATAAGTTGAAACTAATATGCATTTGTCGTCGTTCAGTCACTCATTTGTGTCCGACTCTTTGTGACCCCATGCACTGCAACGTGCCAGGCTTCCCTGTCCTTAACTATCTACTGGAGTTTGCTCAAGCTCATGTCCACTGAATTGGTGATGCCGTCCAACCATTTTATCTTCTATTTCCCACTTCTCTTCCTGCCTTCAGTCTTTCCCAGCATCAGCGTCTTTTCCAGTGAGTTGGTTCTTCGCATCAGGTGGCCAAAGTATTGGAGCTTCAACATTAGTACTTCCCATGAATATTCAGGGTTGATTTCCTTTATGATTGACTGGCTTGATCGTCTCACTGTCCAAGGGACTCATGAGAGTTTTCTCCAGCACCACAGTTCAAAAGCATCAATTATTTGGCAGTTAGCCTTCCCTGTGGTCCAATTCTCACATCTATACATGACTACTGGAAAAAAAACCATAGCTTTGACTAGATGGACCTTTGTCTGCAAAATGATTTCTGCTTTTTAATATGCTGTCTAGGTTAGTCATAGCTTTTTTTCTAAGGAGCAAGCTTCTCTTAATTCAGTGGCTTTAGTTACTGTCCACAGTGATTCTGGAGCCCAAGAAAATAAAATCTGTCACTGTTTCCACTTTTTCCCTATTTACTTGCTATGAAGTGATGGAATTGGATGCCATAATCTTAAGTTTTTGAAAGTTGAGTTTTAAGCCAGCCTTTTCACTGTCCTCTTTCACCTTCATCAGGAGGCTCTAAAGTTTCTTTTCATTTCTGCCATTAGAGTGGTGTCATCTGCATATCTGAAGTTGTTGATATTTCTCCCAGCAATCTTAATTTCATCTTGTGATTGATCCAGTCTGGCATTTTGCGTGATTTACTCTACATATAAGTTAAATAAGCAGAGTGACAATATACAGCCTTGACTTACTCCTTTTTCAATTTGGAACCAGTCTGTTGTTCCATGTCCAGTTCTAACTGTTGCTTCTTCACCTTCTTACAAGTTTCTCAGGAGGCAAGTCAGGTGGTCTGGTATTCCCATCTCTTTAAGAATTTTCCACAATTTGTTGGGATCCACACTGTCAAAGGCTTTAGCATAGTCCACGAAGCAGAAGTAGATGTTTTTCTGGAATTCCCTTGCTTTTTCTGTAATTTTCTGTGTTTTCTAAACACGGCATGAACATCTGGAAATTCTCAGTTCACTTATTGTTGAAGCCTAGCTTGGAGAATTTTGAGCATTACTTTGCTAGTGTGTGAAATGAGTGCAGTTGTGCGGTAGTTTGAACATTCTTTGGCACTGCCTTTCTTTGGGATTGGAATGAAAACTGACCTTTTCTAGCCCTGTGGCTATTGCTGAGTTTTCCAAATTTGCTGGCATATTGAGTACAGCACTTTAATAGCATCATCTTTTAGGATTTGAAATAGCTCTGCTGGACTTCCATTACTTCCACTGGCTTTGTTCGTAGTGATGCTTCCTAAGGCCCACTTGACTTCGCACTCCAAGGTGTCTGGCTCTAGGTGAGTAATCACACCATCGTGGTTATCTGGGTCATGAAGATCTTTTTTGTGTAGTTCCTCTGTATATTCTTGCCACCTCTTCTTAATATCTTCTGTCTCTGTTAGGTCCGTACCATTTCTGTCCTTTGTTGTGCCCATCTTTGCATGAAATGTTCCCTTGGTATCTAATTTTCTTGAAGAGATTTCTAGTCTTTCCCACTCTCTTGTTTTCCTCTATTTCTTTGCATTGTTCACTTTGGAAAGTTTTCTTATTTCTCCTTGCTATTCTTTGGAACTGTGCATTCAAGATAGGTATATCTTTCCTTTTCTCCTTTGCCTTTTGCTTCTCTTCTTAGCTATTTGTAAGGCCTCCTCAGACATTTTGCCTTTTGCATTTCTTTTTCTTGGGGATGGTTTTGATCACTGCCTCCTGTACAGTGTATTAACCTCTGTCCTTAGTTCTTTAGGCACTGGAGAAGGGAATGGCAAACCCCTTCAGCATTCTTGCCTTGAGAACCCCATGAACAGTATGAAACAGCAAACTAACATGCATTGTCATTTTCTATTACCCACTGAATGAATGGTGCCTTAGCTACAGGGAGTATAACCTTTTTATGATTTCCATAACACTGTTCCTCTGTTTTTTCACCTTGTTTGGGGCCATAGAGTAGTTGAGAATTCAGGGCAGTTGAGAATGTAGGATCTGGAAGATCACTAGGAAGTGGGAGTGTGCAGGAGTGAGTGATCCACATGGTATGGCTCATCCTAAGGGTAACCCATTCATGAAAAAGATGATTATATAATAATATGAGTTGTTAGCAATAAATAACTTGGATGTGAGTAGGTTTATAAGTTAAGGTAACAAACTACTACCCCTCACACAAAATTCATAACCACTGTGGCTATTTCTTAATTATTTGTTGTTAAGAGACTATAAGGACTACATAAGAGATCATATGAAAATTGTAGCTATAATATAACCATTTTCCCCCCTCTACCTGCTACTAAAAAAATCTCCAGAACAAAATATGTGATTTCTGTACTTACTAGGATAGGACTAGGGGATTGATAGTTATACAGGATTGATGTTTTCTGCTCTTAAAAGGAAATGCAAAGCTATTTCCCTATGAAAGTAAATTTACTTCTTTGCTTCACTGTATCTGTACTTTGGGTAAGCTGATTAACCATGTAAACTTCGAGAAATCAGCCTTCAGAATAGTGATAAAGGAGACAAACCAGAAATATGCTACAGTCTGCTCACCTGTGACTTTTCAACCAAAACTAATTTTTGTACCAAAATATAGGTAAAGCAGTATATGTACAGGTTGGATGTGGTGGAAACATTGAATTAAAGTAACTATCTTTCTTATTGCTATGTTTACTTTTTATAAGTTAACCTATATTAGGCTCACATAGTATAAAACCTAACTTCATCTTTATTGCTAGACTAGTAATTTAATTTCTCCCTGACAAGGCTGTTCTGAATATGTTCTATGAATCTTTTGATATGAAACATAAAATTTTCTAAAAGGATAATGTGTATATCTGAATATCAGATACAAATCCAATTTCCTGAAGTATCTTATGTAATTATCTAGTTTATTAAAGTATAGTCAGAGAACAACATGAAAAAATGCTTTTTTTGATCACAAAAGCTATATTGCACTTGCTTTAATCTTATCTCAAGGTTTAGGGATATGTCTATATAGTATGCATGACTCAAGTCTCTTCTCTCAGGATATTCAGGATTTATTTGTGAGCTCTGAATTTCTGATTATCATTTTCAACTTGCTTACATCCCATCTCTCCTGATAAAGGGTTCAGACATTTTTATAACTTGTCTTCTTAAAGGGAAGAAGGATTAGTCATTTCCACTGGTGAAGTTCTACCGATGAAGTCATAAGTGTGAAAACTGTGTCATAAGTACAAAATTAGTTAAAGGGGAAGTAGAACAGAAGTGTGAATCAGTGGGAAAGAAAGTTATTCCACTTTGGGATGACTTGGCTACAGTTTTGTAAAATGTTAGGAGACAGTCTGATAAAAAATAATGCATTGGTTGAAGATTATTTTTAAAAATTCACTAGAATAAATGGGCAAGTTTGTTATAAAAGTAAATAAGACTGAATCTCTTAAGTTTCCAAAGTAGCTGGAATCCTTAGAATAAACTGAGAATCTGAAGGAGCTAAATTATGAAAATGTAACTACAAACATAGGAAAATCTTCAAAAATCAACTCATTAGCTTTTCAGAAACCAGGCTATAGAGCAGGAGTAATGCCATGATTTTCCTCTCCTTTTTGAGGCAGAAGAGACAATGTAATTATAGGTATTAAAACGTTATCCAGTGTGCTTTTAGTTAGTATGTTAAAGAAATCTTGGAATCCTTTTATGGGATTACATAATTACTGCTGCCCAAGAGCATTTAAACTATTGCATGAAGGAAAAGAATATGGATTGTATTTAAAAAATGAAAACTTAACAAATAAAACTTGTTTTCACAAGTATACTACTGAATGTAAAAATGGATAAATTCTTGGAGTGGCAAGATGATGTTCCCACATTATATAGTGAGTTTTGGGGTGAGGGGATACTCTAACTGGGGACATCAGTATATTGAGAGGACTGGGATTTTTTTCCCCCCAGTCCTATTGAGGTATAATTGAGAAATAATATTGTAATGTATTTAAAATGTTTAACATGATTTGATATACATTGTGAAAAGTTTCCCACCATGTTAATGAATTAATGCATCCATCATCTCATGTATTCACCTACTTTCCCCCTCTTTTTCTTTTTTGGTGAGAATATTCAAGTTATACACCCCAAGCAAATTTCAGTTATACAGTACATTCTTATCAATTATAGTCACCATGTTATAGTTAGATCCTATGACCTTATTCATCTTCAACTGAAAAATTATACCGTTTTACAAGCCTCTGCCTATTTACGTCAACCAGCATTCTACTCTTTGTTTCTATGAGTTAGATCTTTTTTTTTTCTTGTATTGATACCGTACAGTATTTGTCTTCCTATGTGTAGTTTATTTCACAAAATGAACCCTCCAGGTTCACCTATGTTGGAGATGGCAAGATTTCATTCTTCTTTATTTAGGTTGAGTAATTATATTCCATTGTATACATACTTACACCCCTTTTTAAAAAAATCCATTCACCCATCCATCGACACTTGGGTTTTTTCCAATGTCCTGGCTATTGTAAAAAATGTTGCAGTGAACATAGGGCATGAACTTGCATGAACTTTGAATAGTGATTTCATTTCCTTTCGATGTATACCCAGAAATGGGATTGTTAGATCATATGATAGTTCGATTTTTAATTTTTTGGGAAACCTCCGTACTGGTTTTCTACTGCCTATACTACTTAATATCCCCATCAACAGTGAGCAGATTTCCTCTTTGTTCTCATTTTTCTCAACATTTGTTATCTCTTATCTTTTTGATGATAGACATCCTAACAAGTGTTAGGTGATAATCTTACTGTACTTTGGATTTCCTTTTCCCTGATAATTATTGAACACCTTTTCCCGTACCTATTGATTATTTGTATGTCTTTTTGGAAAAATATCTGGCTTCTCTGCCAATTTTTTAATTGAATTGCTTGAGTTTTTGGCTGTTGAGTTGTGTGAGTTTCCTATATATTTTGGACATTAATTCCTTGTCCTACCGGACAAATGGTTTGCAAATATTTTCTTCTATTCCACAAGTTGCCTTTTCATTTTGTTGACTTATTCTTGTGCTGTGCATACTGTTTGTATGTAGGATTGTATTAATTTTTAAGAGCTTTTTATGATCTTAAAGATGCCTTCTTAATTGAACAGATTCTTTAGATTGGGTACTAATGTCTCTCATCTAGATCCCCAAGAGCCTGCCACAGCAGGGGGAAAAATTGAAGGGCTTGAATCTCATTGCTGTGTGAGATTTGATATTTATCTCTTACGGAACAATTACATGTAGCCGGGCTGCCAGATAGGGGCTTTGTAATGAAGCAAACTATGTTTAGATCCCAAATGTATTACAGGGGTGTCAGATAAGTGCCTGGATCATTGTGTATGTACTCTCAAAGTGTTTGCATGTACAATACATTCCAGATTTACCAAATCAGTATGTTTGATATTTGCTTGGAATCTACATTCTGAGCTCTCTTGCTCACTCTCTAAAACTAGAGAATCACTATTGTAAAAAAGATACCGTAAAGATAAAACCTTAAAATTTAAAACATAAAATTACACCACAGTAACTGAGTTAATATAACTGGGGCATGTTAGATTATAAATTTGCATGTATCTAGAACTGGAGTAGGTGATTGATTACAAAAATTGTGTTTTTCTGATCCAGTGATATGTCTTAGAGATAGAAAAGGAGAACATAAGCAACATAGCTAAATGTCAAAAATAATTCATTTAGGATTATTGTTCAAGTGTGTAAAGATGCATTAGACACAGAGAGTCTTCTGTCAGGAAATTTGGAATATAATAGATGAGAGCAACAAGTATATATAGTATTTCAATATAAAATGATATACTCAGATTCATAGGATAATATGGTGGCACTTACTAAAAAGACAGCTATAAAATATACCTTTTAAAGATTCTTCGGACAGTTACCAACTGAAAGTAATAGATTTTTTGGAGAATTTCAATCCACTTCTTCCTTATGACTGCCTTCTGCATTTATGGATTTCATATTGTACCTGGTACCTCTAAGTAGGAATTTGATTCTTAATGTGCTTAGTGAGACTGCCAAATAAAAATATAGGTGAAATTGACAGATAAATGGCCAGTTGGGGGGAATGCATGAAGGTCAAAAAGACATGTTGAGTTGATCAGTACAGTATTGTGTAAAAACTACATATAAATTGTATTATAGTCATGTTGTGTATAAAACTCACACATACAAACATCAAACCATGAAGTGAAATAGAATAGGAAAAAAATTTAAAAACCAAAGCTTCAGATTCTTACATTTTGAATTAATTTTCCTAGGCTATGAGACACTCATCAGATCAGTTATTATCATAATGGAAATTGTATGAAACTATAAAAAGATAAATTTGTATATCTGGAGAATTGAGAATTATGTTTCAAGAATTAATCATGCAATCTGTGAGAAAAATTTGAACATAATTTATATTGGACAGTTGTGTGAGATGATTTATTTTGTCAACATAAATATTAAGAATTAACTTTCAGCTAATAGTGCATCCTTTGGACACAGTTTAATTTAATCTATATCAACTGTATTTGTTAAAGTTCTTGTACTTACATAACATTTAGGAAATGCTTTAACATACATTATATATTAATTTATTTGGCCCTCTTAACACTATCCTGTAGAAAGTAGGGCAGAGAGAAATATCCTATTTTTGAAATGTAGGTATTAAGCCTGAAAAAGACAAACATTTATTAATTTTTAACTAGCTGAGCTCTTCTGTAGATTTTCAGTTTCTAATAATATCTAACTATATCCCAGACACAGTGTTCCAAGTTCATTTATTTTCTTGATCTTCACAATAACTCTGAGATAGGTGATCCATTATTTCCATTTTACATTTGGGGAAACAGCCATGGGATCAAACAGTTTATTGACAGTTATGCAACTAGTAAAGGTAAGACTCCATTAGACTTAGCAGAAGTTTAACCATTTTTCTCCTAATTTCCGCTCTGAAAGTGTAAGGCACTCAGTTTGTAAATCACTGATTTACTAGGCCTATAGTATAATTGTACTTTTAAACTGTTCTTTAGTTGGCCTTAGGATGTGATTCCCTACACTCTTATCTCATAGTAATAATAAAGATTTGTGGTAAACAATTCAAATAGCATTAAAAGCTATAAAAAGAAAGTAGAAGTAACTGGTAATCACACTCAGAAGTAGCTGCCAGTATTTTCTTGTACATCCTTTGCTAATAACTCTGCTGTGACTTAATGGAACTATGATTTTTACATAATCGGGTTTATACTATGTGTGTTTTGCAACCTGAGTTTTCTTTTTTAACTCAATAGCTTATCTCTGTTTTTCATTGTTTGTTTTCCTATGTTTCATATGTTTGAATATTGGCTTATATGGTAACTTTTTGATTGTATTGAGGTTTGCCAGATTAATAATATATTTTTTTTAATTTTTAAAGGACTTACACATGCTAGTCCAACTATCACTGAAGACCGAAAGAAAAGTGAAGAAATGCAAGAGAGCATTTCAGATGAGGAAAACATTAGAGTTCTACAGGAAAATAATGAGTTAAAAACACGTTTGCTCACCATTGAGAATGAACTTAAAAATGAAAAGGAAGAAAAAACAGAATTAAATAAACAGATTGTTAGTTTGCAGCAGGAACTTGCTTCTTCTGAAAAAAAAAGTTTAGGTTTTAGTATAGAGGTCCAACAAATTCAGTTGAGTTATGACAATGTGATTTCTGAATTACATGTGCAGAAAAGTATAAATCAAGAACAGAAGGAAAGGATCATGAAATTGTCAGAAGAGATAGAAACTGCTAGAAGAAACATCACAAGTAATGTTTCCCAAATAAAATTAATGCAAGCAAAAATAGATGAACTGCGTAGACTTGATTCAATTTCTCAGATCGCAAGCGTAGATTTACTCAATCTCAGGGATCTGTCCAGTGGTTCTCAAGAAGATAATCTGCCGAATACACACTTACATCATTTGGATACTGATTATCTGATAAGTAAGCAGGTTAGCGAGCGTGGTGTTCGGGAACTTAGTGGGGAAAGGTCTTTCCACGCTGCTGTTGAAGCCATTTGGGAGGAGTGTAAGGAGATTGTAAAGACTTCCTCCACAAAAACCCGTCGGATTGAGGAACTGCAACAACAAATTGAAAAATTACAGGCAGAAGTAAAAGACTGTACAGATGAAAACAATAGACTAAAAATAGAGGAGAGGGAGAAGAAAACTCAAGATGAGTTACTAAAAGAAAAAGATAGTCTTATACAGCAGCTGAAGGAAGAATTGCAAGAAAAAAACGTTAGTCTTGATATTGAAGTACAGCATGTAGTGGAAGGAAAGAGAGCACTTTCAGAACTTATGCAAGATGTTACTTGCTATAAGGTGAAAATAAAGGAACTTGAAGCAGTGTTAGAAACTCAGAAAGATGAATGTAGCCATTCAGCCAAGTTAGAACAAGAAATTATGGAAAAGGAATCTATCATTTTAAAGCAAGAAAGAGATCTGAATGATTGTCAAGCAAATCTTAAAGATTCTATCCAAAATGCCAGAGATTTAAGTGAAAGGGAAGTCAAATTGAAAGAAGAAATCACGCAATTAACAAAAAATTTGCAAGATGCTAAGCATTCACTTCAATTAAAGGAAGAAGAAAAGGAAACAAGCTGGCAAGAAACAGAAAAGTAAGCTAAAAGTTATTAAAAGGTCTTAAAAATTTGCATTTCTTTTATTGATTTTTCTACATAGCTTTTAAAGCATTTACGTGGGCATAACTTAATCTGGTTAAATATAGCATGTATGTTGAGAGAAGAACTTGAACTTTGTGTAAACCTTTGGGACTGAATGTTATTTACATGCAGAATTCTGTTTATAAAATCTTCTGAAATCCTCCTTGAAGTACTCATTCATGCTGTGGACATTCCAAATTTGTGAAAAGATCTAATTTTGTAGATGACTAGTCACACATATGATCCTAAGTGATTAGTGATATATCACTATAGGAAAGTGATTTGTGATTTTTAGGTTGAAAGAGGAGCTCTCTGCAAGCACTACTCTTACTCAGAATCTGAAAGCTGATCTTCAGAGGAAGGAAGAAGATTATGCTGAGCTGAAAGAGAAACTGGCTGATGCCAGAAAGCAGATTGAGCAAGTACAGAAAGAGGTTAGTTATTTGAAAAGTGTGGCCAATTTAAACGATAATGATTGTTTTCCTTATATATCATGTTTAGACACTAATTTTGGTATTGACCGGAACATTTGTCAACTCTGTAATTTTTTTTTAAATGATGAGAACTGTTATTTCACAGAAAATTTAGTCAGCTTAAACAAACTTAAGAATGTCTAATAGTAAGAAAAATATGTGCCTTATATAAGACTAGAACCTTTTTTTTTCTTTTAAGGACTAAGCTCAAGTCCCCCAAAAAGTAAAAAGTAAACTTTTGTTTACAGATTGTATGTAGGAGAGTATGTAGTGCAGTTGTAACAAGTTTTTGTTATAATTTGATTTTTTAAATTTTTTTTTATAATATGATTTTAAAAATAGGAAATACGTTCACATGGTTCCAAATTTAAAACACATGAAAGTATATATAGTGAGGGGAAAAACTGCCATCAAGCTTCCCACCAAGGAATCAAATGTTACCAGTAATTTTTTTTCTTTACTTCTCCCTCTTCCTCGGTTGTTCCTTTCTTCTCTTCCTGTTAAAAAATGGAAACCTCCAATAAATACTATGTGAACCTTGTTTTTCTTCACATAGTGTATCTTGACTGTCTCTCCATCTCAAGATATAAAGAGTTTCCAGATGACTTTTTTAATGACTAGGAACATGTATTTATGGTTAATGCTTCTCCTATCATTGAACAGTTAATTTCCAGTTACTGATGCAGTGATGTCATTTTGAACTTTTATAGGTCTTCCTGTGAAATAAATTCCTAAAAGTGGAATTTATGAGTCACTGGTTTGTACATTTTGATATTTATTACGATTTTTAGAGATTATGCCAATTTACTCACCAGAACTAATGTATAAGAAAGTATTTTTCTCTATACTCTTATCCACAAAGTAGTATTTTATCATTATTTCTTTGATATCTGCTAACTTGACATGTAAATAGTATATCTCAACTATAATTCTAACTTGCATATCTTTAATTAGAATGAACATTTTTTGGTTTACAATGTATTTGTTTTTCCTCCTGTGGTCTGAGTATTCGTATTCTTTGTTTTAGTTTAGGTTATTATTTTTTTTATTGTTATTGCTTTGTGGTAGCTTACTATATATTTAGGAAAGTAACTTTTTAAGGATATTAATTGTGGATAACCCCTGCACCTGACCCCTATGTTGCCATTTTTCTTGATTTTGATTATGGTGCTTTTTTCCCTTGGAGCAGTTTATTTTTCTTTTATGACTGCTGTATTTTGTATCATAATTAAGACTTTTTTAAAAGTTGAAATAATTTTAAATATTTTTCATTCCTTACAGTTAGTTACAAAAGAATACTTAAATTCTAATGTCTGAAGAATATTCACACAGCAGATGTTTGTGGGTCTCATCCATTTTTTGTTTCCTATCCCCAATGAAGTTACTATAATGAATGTTTTATATTTGTCTTTTTTTAGATCTGTTAAAAATGTAAGTTAAGCTATATATATATTTTTTTATTTCTACACATTGTGTTCTGAGACATTATCCACATCATATTCCTGAGAGTTGTTTATGTATGGTTATAGTTAATCACTTTCACTGCTGTGTAATATTCCAAAGTGTGGAACTGTACAATTTAGTTATCTATTCTCTTGACCATTTACATTGTTTTCGTTCTTTGCTCTTAGAAGAAAGAGTGATCCTATTTTAAACACGCCCTAGGTATGCATGTACAAGAATTTGTAGAGCATGGGGTCGAATTGTTGGGTCAGGAGGTAAAGGGGTATCTTATGGTTTTAAGTTGTGTTCCTCTCAGTGTCTGTTTTTATCACTAAATGTCTATTCTTGTTTTCACTCTGAAATACATTCATTCATATTTTCTTTTAATTTTGCTGTACTTTTAAAAATTATTGTGTTGGATTTCTTTATTCTTATGTCTGATTCTTTGTTTTTAAATTTTGGTTTATTTATTTATTTTTGGCTGTTGAGAGTCTTCGTTGCTGCTCGAGCTTTCTCTAATTCCCACCAGTAATTGTTTACCACTTCCCACCAGGGAAGTCCTTGGTTCTGACTCCTATAAAATACATTGCAGATACCTTCTAGCTTACTTGTTGAAAGTCAGGCCTTCTCTTTCTGTGAATGTCCTCAAAATAAAAGCCAGTCAATGTTACACTTATTTTTGTGATTATTTTTTCACTTAATTTTTTGTTATCTTGATATTTATGTTTTTGTTAGTTTCTCAGTACTTTTAAAAAGATTTAAAACTTTTTTATCCAGCATTTGAAGTCCTTGAATAATTTTTAATGTAGCATAATAAAGCTCACAATAATATAGCATTAATGTAAATTAAAAATGAATGAAAAGAACCTGGGTATAAACTTTTTGATCAAATAAATTATAATTTTCATGACTATTAGGCCTGTACTGGTAAGGAGAAGCTCCCGCTATGATTTGGTAGATACCCTCCATATCCATATATGTAAAATAGTTACTCTATGTGTTTGTGTGTTTTTATTTTTATAAATGGGATCAGCTATATATAAATACTGCTTTTAAAATTTTTTCTAATTTTAAGATTTTTTTTTTTCATAGCTTTAGGTGGTATCTCTTTTTGAGTAATGTTTTATTGTGCAGATGACTAACATTACTCTAAGGGCGAGAATTAAGAGTGTTTTCTGTCTTTCAAAATAAACAATGTATAATGTTAATGCTAATAATAATAGAAGCTTACTCTGGATTGGTTGTTCTGAGTTTACATGTATCATCTCATTTAATTTTCATACAAATGTTTAGGCATAGGGACTATTTTTAGCTTCCATTTTATGACTAGGGAGACAGGCATTGAGAGAGATAACTTGTCCAGTGTTAGAGCCAGGATGGAAACTGAAGCAGTCCTTATGTACATCTTGGTGCAATACATAGTCTCTGTATTATTGGCAGACAGTTTATGTCTGTAAAATTGATGAAGATGGTGTTTATTAGTGGAAGTCTCTTGTTTTTGAACAAAATAAGATAATATATAAAATTAATCTTATTAATGTATGATTATAAAAGGAATATATGTTTATTGTAGTAATTTTGGAACATACAGGAAGCCTAAAAAGAAATGTAAAAATCAGCTGAAACCAAAGAACTACTATTATTATGGTATCTCCATAATTTTTATGAAGGGGAATTTTGTTCAGTTAATTTCCTTCGGTTTATGAGATCCCTAGGTATCTTGAAAATTGGCCTAAAGGTGTACTTTGATTACATGTTTTCTCTACTTATCCCTTTCCCTTCTCTCCCCTCCCTCCTTCTCCCCTCTTTTCCTTTAAGATTTGCATCTAACTCAAAGTGCTTTTTGATTTCTTTAATAGGTTTGTAGGATTAAGTTACCCTACAAAATCAGTTGACCTTCCCTTGCATGGGTACCTTTTGATCTTGTAATTGTTCTGTTTTCATCCTCTACATGCCATTATTAGCTGTTAAGTCATTTCTTGTGTTACTGGATCATATTACTTAATAAATCTTGGAAATCAGAGTCAGTGTTTTTCCCCTGGAGTATTTCTATTGATTTTTCCATGATAATGATTTCCCTCTTGCATGCATGGGACTATTCTGAGTCTTTTTTGGGAGCATTTGCAGAGTTTGAGATTCTGATAATTTGAGCTACATCATGTATGTTAGGATGTGTAATCTTTCTAATGCTCTTAAAAAGGACATTAATCTTTAAAACAGTGGCCTTAAATTTTAAACAACAAAGCAATTAGTATTTTTAGAAATACTTAATTTGATTTATTACTTTGTAGGTCTCTGTAATGCGTGATGAGGAGAAATTGTTGAGGATTAAAATTAATGAACTGGAGAAAAAGAAAAACCAGTGTTCTCAGGAAATAGATATGAAACAGCGAACCATTCAGCAACTTCAGGTAACAGTTTTGTTTTTCAAGATGATTTAAATAGACTCTGCTGGTATATTTTAGTGTTTAGTTAAATGTATATATGTTTTTTAAAGTAAAAAATGGATAATCTGAGGATTATAACCTGGGAGACAGTCTTTCAGAAAGCTCTTAGGACTATTCCACCCATTAGAGGTCAAAGCAAAGTTGCATACTTTTTGAGACAAAGGTTTATACATCAAATGGTATATTGTTGACAATTTACAGTACTCAGATATGAGTAGGGGGTAATCATGGCCCCTTTCACGATAAAAAGGAAGGCTATCTCCTAAGGAGTTACCTTGCTGGCACCAGGAGAAAATAGCTTTTTACCATCCAGCAGGCATTTCCGTGTCTTCTAAGCCGGGGTTAATGCCAGTGCGTAATGCACAGTTAAAATAGGGTAGGAGGTGGGCACAGAGAATTTTATGCTTGTAAAAAAAAATTTTTTTTTTCCTTATCCTGCCTTAAAATGTTTATTACAGCTCAGGAGTCTTAGGTGGTAAACCCAGCCCAGTGTCTGGTCAAGGTGCCTATAACAGCTGGGATTGCTTCAGAGATTTGTTTGCATTTGCTGTCTGGGAAGGGCATCTCAGCCCCAGGTTTAGGGGAGATTCCGAGGCGTTGGGAGCCCCATTTCAGGGGGATCTCTTAGTCCACCTTCATGTTCCCTGACACCTGCAGAACAAGAATCATGTTTTCAGGAGATGTTTGGAGGCCTTTAGGAAGAAAAAAGCTGTTAAAATCCTACTTTCAAAAAGACAATTATTTCATGATTCCAACACCGTAGGGATCTTTAGGGGACTTTGAGGAACAGCTATGAGTATTTGGTGATAAATGATTTGAGCATCAATCCAAAGGAATGGTGAGGTGTCAAGACAGATGGAAATTTTGTTTATAGTGTGCCCTTATGTAGCCAGACACCGACTAGGTTCTTTCCCTCACTGCTGGACTACCTTGGACCGCCGCTGTCATTTTCCATCTATTTCCGTCCCCGTCTGTCTACCTCTGTCACTCTCCATCTGCTTCTGTCCTGTCTGACCACCTCCATCCTTCTGTTAGCCTCTGTTGTCCTCAGCGTTTTGGTCTCTGGTCACCCACTTCCACCATTCTCTGCCTGTTTCTGTCCACATTCCTTGTTCTCTCTCTCTTTCAGTTGTGTCAGTGCTACCTGCATCATTCTGCATCCACCTCAGTCGCTTTCCATCTGTCTGCTTCTGTCATTCTCTGTCTACCTCCGTCATTCTCCGCCTGGTTCCGTCCTGCCCGCCCACCTCCTTGGTTCTCTGTTTCCCTTCTGCGGGTCCATCTCTGTAGTGCTGTTTCCGGTCTGTTTTGTCCCTGTCCGTCAACCTTTGCAGTTCTGTGTTTCCATCCATCTCTGTCCATCCACCTCCGTAGTTCCTCCCTCATTTTCTTTCATTGTCTCTTCACCATCCTTCGAGCTCTAGATGGAAGGTTAGATTACCAGATGGGTTAAAACTAAAATTGAAGGATTTCCAGTGTCCATAAAGTAATGTTGCATCTTTTTCAAACCTTCCAGCTACTTTCTACATATAGGGGATGTGGGGGCTCAATTTTTTCTGCATCTTGAGTTTACTTGATAAGGAATTTATTTATGGTTTACTTTGTTGTTCCCATATTAAATATATTTCTTACCCTTTATGCTTTTTGTGTTGTGTAAGAGAACATACATGCTAGCTTAAAATGTTGAGTGAAGAAAATGATTTGGCATTTTTGAGGTAGATTAAAGGTATAAAGTTGGGGGGTGTGTATTTTTGTTTTATTTTTTCCTATTATCACTCTCACCCTACCCTTTACTCTGAGGTGAAACAAACTTAGGAGCTTCAGACTCTTAGCCTTCTAGGAGATAGATTTCAAAGTTAATAATAAACCCTGTTCAAGTCCCACTATTAAATATTGGCGTATGATTAAGTTCATTTGCATTTCATATTCTTTCATTTGCAGGAGCAGTTAAATAATCAAAAAGCGGAAGAAGCTATACAACAGTATGAGAGAGTGTGCAAAGGTCAGAAACAAACCTCTTCTTCCAATACTAAAAAGACTGCAAAATAAGTAGCTAGAATAACAACTGGTTCATCATTTTCCTTTGAAAATTCTGAAGTGAAATAAGGGCAACATAAAATGTAACTTTATCAAAAGAGAAAAGCATTGATTCTCAAGAGTAACTTACCACCCTGAAGTTTATCAGTGAAGAGGAATTAACTTGAATCAGTAACTTGGATGTGAAAATACATGTCCCTACAGAATCTTATTTTTTCCCACCCTTTTAGGCCATTGTCCCATAACCATCTTATATTTCTGTAATAGTTTTGGAATTTTCCTTTACTTTGGCTCCTTTGTCATTGTTGGCAGGTGTGAATAGATCTTGGCTATTCTATAAAACATTCTTTGAACCAGAATATAGTTTCTTTCATATTTTACTATTTTATTTCTTGGCCACATATTGAGATGTGTGGTGTAGGCCCATTTTGAGTACTCTTAATCTTCCATCTTCTCCATTCTCTCTAAACTTTAATCCAGGCCACTTGTAACCTGCATAGTTTCAGATCTTTTTGGTTTTTGCAACCCGTCCTTTCCTTTATTTTTTAATTATTTGTCAATTCACTTTCTCTTATTTTCGTTTTTTAAGTAGTATTAATTGTGTAAGAGTATTTTTTCTAGTATAAAGGTGATGTGTAGCTTCCCCCTTTTTGAAACTCTTTTACCTTGGCTTTTGTGATCTATTCTTCTGGTTACTGCCTTTCTCTCAGAATGGACCTTAGCCACTGTGACAAATTTCTTGAATAAGGCATCATTATCTTTTTTCTCTTTGTTTTCACTGTTGAGTTCCTTCACCTTTGTGATTTTAACTTTGTGTTAGACATTCTTTGACAAGCAGAAAAGTACATTTTTAGCTCTTAAGGGTTTCCCTGGCTTCTAAAGTTCTATTTAAATACTGAATGCCATTTGCCTAGGTATCTTACTGAGTTTTTAAATTGAGATACACAAACCATAAAATTTACCCTTTAGAAGTGTACAGTATTGGTAGCTTTTAGTATATTCACAAACTTGTACAGCCACTACCACTATGTAATTCCAGAGCGTTTTCATCACCCTAGAAAGAAATGCTATACTGATTAGCAATCACTCTCCATTCATGCTTCCACCAGAACTCCAGCTTCTGCTTCTGTCTTAACATAGACATCTTCCCTCTGAGTGTGTTTCTTCTTCCTATCTGTTGCCATACAAACTTCCCTTTTCTTACAAGGACACCAATTATGTTGAATTTAGGGCCCACTGTAATCCAGTAGCAGGAGTTCCCCAGTGGCTCAGCTATTAAGAATCCACCTGCAATGCAGGAGACGTGGGCTCCACCTGTGGGTTGGGAAGATCCCCTGAGACTTCCTACTGGAGCAACCCACTCCAGTATTCTTGCCTGGAGAATCTCATGGACAGAGGAGCCTGGTGGACTGCAGTTCACGGGGTCGCAAAGAGTTGGACACGACTGAAGCAACTTTGCATTCAGGCACGCTAATCCAGTAGGACCTTATTCTGAACTTGATTACCTCTGCACAGCCTCTTTTTCCTAGTAAGGTCATATTCACATGGAGTAGACATAGTTTTTTCCCCTGACATCGTGGTGGGTATAAAGGAGTATGTCATTTTGGTTCACTTATTTATTCAGCTGCAGCAAGTCTTAGTTGTGGTCCGTGGGATCTTCATTGTGTCTTTTGAGATCTTTTGTTCTGGCACACAGCTTCTCTAGTTGTGGGCACAGGCTCCACAGAACAGGCTTCGTAGTTTAGACACGTGGACTTAGTTGGTCCACAGCATGTAGGATCTTAGTTTCCTGACCAGGGATTGAAACCATATCCCCGGAATTGCAAGGCAGATTCTTAACCATTGGACGACCTGGTAAATCCTATTTGTTGTTTTGATTTGCATTTCCTAGTAATATTGAGCATCTTGTCTTCTGCTATTGGCCATTCATATATCTTCTTTGCAGAAATGTCTGTTAATGTCCTTAATGTGCTTTGCCTGTTTTGGGCAAAAGTTGCCCCCTCTTGTTCCCTCAAACAATTCAGTTGGGTTGTTTGCCCCCTCCCCCCACTTGTTTTTTGTGTGTGGGTGTGGAGTTGTGATTTTGATGTTTTCTGGATTCTAGACTCTTATCAGGTAAATGTTTTCTCCTATTCTGTGGGTGGTTTTTCACTTCCTGGATAGTGTCCTTTGATAGGTAAAAGTTTTTAATTTTTTAAGTTAATTTTTATTGGAGTATAGTTGCTTTACAATGTTTACAAAGTGAAAGTTTTTCATCTTGATGTTACCTGTCATGTTTTGATTGCTTATGCTTTAGGTATCATGTCTAAAAAACCTGTTGCCTAATCTGAAGTTACCTAGGTTTTCTTCTAAGGGTTTTATAGTTTTTGGCTCTTGTATTTAGGTCTTTGATTCATTTTTGAGTTAATCTGAGTGTAATTTTGTATATTATGTAAGGTAGATGTCTAACTTAATTCTTTTTCATTTGGAGATCCAGTTGTCACAGCACCATTCACAGACTATTCTTTCTCCTGTTGCATTGTTTTGCATCGTTGTTGAGAATCAGTTGACCATAAATGTAAGGATTTATCTCCTAACTCTTAGCTCTTTCATTGTTTTATATGTCAGTCCTTAGTGCTAGTACCATACAGTATTGTTACTTACCTTTTAGTGAGTTTTGATATTGAGAAGTGTGAATTCTCTCACTTTAGTAAAAAATAATAATTTATTTGGCTGCCCTGGGTCTTAGTTGTGACACTTGGGATCTTTAGTTGTGACATGCCTACTCTTAGTTGTGGAATGTGGTATCTAGTTCCCTGACTAGGGATCTAACCCGGGGCCCTGGCAGTGAGAGCGCCATATCTTAACCACTGAACTGCTGTGAAATTCCCAATCACTGAGTATTTCTAATCCAGAGTTTTACATGACATTTGTATGTCATTTCTTTCACAAGTTGGTGCTATGTCCCTTCTTTGCACATCCAACCTGTTCTTGAACATTATGCTTAAGCTTTTCCTCCTGAAGCCTTGCTAGGACATCATATAGCTTTCAGTGATCCTCTCCCCTGAATGTTAAACACTTGATTGATTGATTGTCTGCCAGTCATTTATTTAGCTATGTTAGTTGATAGCTGTCTTTAGATAGCTTTGATGAAGTATCTAGTTCCTGTCCTTTTGTTTTATTTTGTGTTTTATTTGTTGCGTATTTCTGGATTCTTTTCTTGAAATAAAGTTCAGTTATTGGAGGCTATGATCAATGTAAATATCTTTTTTCTTTTACTGTTTCTACCTTTCACAATAGATGGATAGCCATTAGTGAAGTTATCATTGGTGTCTTGGGACTTTACTGATTGCTATCTAGATACTTAAATTCCTTCTTTTGAACCCTCTAATTTAGAGCAGATGATAGGATGTACGAACAGATTATTTGAATAAAATTGTGATTATCTATATAGTCAATATATTTGCATATCATGCTTTTTCAAAGGAAGAGTTTGGGGTAGAATACCAGTACTTCTTTGATCCTAAGAAAGAATTCTGTTTCATTAATTCTCCTGGTGGTTTATATCAATGAAAGAAATACTGAAAATTACTCAAGATATTTTCTCATTGTTTTGTTTTAAGCTTGCTTTATAATAAGTGTTTTAAGGGGGCCATCTTTAGATATTTGTGTTACTTTTAGTGCTCTGAGTTTGAGCTATGCATTTATAGATTCATCACCTCTGACATGAATAGTAGTCTTGGTAAGAGGTGTGGGAAGTGAGCCCTGGTACTGTGTCACCAAAGACAATAAGCCAGTCTTTCCTCCTTATCTCTTTCAGGTAGGATTCGAGTTATTTATAATCCATTATTTCAGTCATTTTTTCAAGGGCCAGAAACAGTTTTAGTAAGGTTATAATAGCACAGTTGTTCCTGAGGAGCTGGTTTAAAAAACACTAGAAGTAAATATTTTGCTTTGAAATTTTTTCTAGAAAAAATAATTACTTGAGATTTTCAAAATAGTAAATTTGGGATTGAGAATTTATTGTTTTAAGGAGGTAAAAATTTCAGTTTTAGTTTTGGTTTAAGAATATTAACAGTGAAATTTGTCAAATAGGTTTTTTCTAAACCCCAGTATATGTGTTTATTAGTACTGGTGTACCTCAGAGATGTTTCAGATTTGGTCCTGTGCATGCGTGCTAAATCACTTCAGTCACGTCTAACTCTTCGTGACCTTGTGGACTGTAGAGCCTACCAGGCTCCTCTCCATGACATTCTGCAGGCAAGAATACTGGAGTGGGTTGCCATGCCCTCCTCCAGGGGATCTTCGCAACCCAAGGATCGAACCAGGTCTCCCGCATTGCAGGCAGATTCTTGACAGTCTGAGCCACCAGGGAAGCCCTTAGCACCCATGCACATAGTTAAATGGCTTAAAACAATGCAAATATGTTACCTTACAACTCTGGACGTCAGAAGTCTGGAAAAGGTCTGATAAGGCTAAAATCAAGATATCTGCAAACTGTGTTCCTTCTGGTTGCTTTAGGGGAGAATCTGTTTCTTTACCTTTTCCAGATTAAGACATAGTAGTATTATGTTTAAAAAAACAGTCCTCACACCTAATTAAAAAATACTTTATTGCTAAAAAATGCTAACCATCATCAGAGCTTTCAGGGAGCTGTAATCTTTTTGCTGATAGAGTAGGGCCTTATGTTGATGCTGAAGACTGCTGACTGAACAGAGTAGTGGTTGCTGAAGATTGGGGTGGCTGTGGCAATTCCTTAAAGTAAGACAATGAGGAAATTTGCCGCATCAGTTGACTCTTCCTTTCATAAACAATTTCTCTGTAGCATGCTCTGCTGTTTGATGCCTGTTTACCCACAGTAGAATTTTTTCAGAATTAAGAGTCAAGCCTCTTAGATTCTGCCACTGCTTTACATTACATAAACTCAGTTTATGTAATATTCTGAATCCTTTGTTGTCATTTCAACATTTTTCACTCAGAATAGATTCCATCTCAAGAAACCACTTTCTTTGCTCATCCTTAAGAAGCAACTCGTTGTCTGTTCAAGTTTTATCATTAGATTGCAGCAGTTTAGTCATATATTCTGGATAACTGGCAGCACCTTTTACATCAGCACTTGGCTGCTTCACCTTGCACTTTTATGTTTTGGAGACACTTCTTTCCTTAAACCTCAAGAACTAACCTTTGCTAGCTTGAAACTTTCCTTCTGCAACTTCCTCACTTCTCAGCATTCATTGAATGGAAAGAATTAGAGCTTTGCTCTAAATTAAGCTGTGGTTTTTTTTGATTTCTCTATCCAGGCCACTGAAAGTTTCTCTATATCATCAGTAAGTCTGTTTCGCTTTGTTATCATTTGAATATTCACCGGGGTAGGACCTTAAAGTCTCTTGAAGAACTTTAGTTTGCAGTTGCAACTTGAGTGTTTGGAACGAGAGGCCTAGCTTTTGGCTAGTCTCGGCTTTTGATATGCCTTCCTTACATAATCATTTCACTTCTAGCTTTTGATTTAAAGTGAGAGTTATGTGACTCTCCTTGAACACCTCCTTTCACTTGAACACTTGACGGCCTCTGTAATGTTATTAATTGGATTAATTTCAATATTGTTGTGTCCTAGGGAATCGGGAGGTCCACGGAGAGGGAGAAACAGGGAAATAGCTGGTCATGAGAGCAATCAGAGCATGCACAGTCTTTATGGGTTAATCTGTTTTACATTGTTGTAGTTCATAGCGTCCCCACTAGAAATACAGTAGTAACATCAGAGATGAGTGATCATAGGTCATCATAACAAATACAACAATAATGATAGAATTATTAAAATGTGATACAGAGGCAAGAAGTGAACAAATGCTGTTAGAAAAATGGTGCTTATAGACTTGCTTGATGCAGGATTGCCACAGACTTTGAATTTTTAAAAAACATAGTGTATTTGAAGCACAATTAAATGAAGAACAGTAAAATAATAGTTTTATGATTTTTATTAATAGCTTAATTGTATTGAAAATGATTAATTTTATTTGAAAAGCTTCCTTTTCTGTCTGTCTGTTCTTGCTTTCATCTGTACATCAATTACTTATTTGATCCTTCATATATGCCAGTACTGGTCTAGGCATTGAAAATATAGCAGTGAATGAGACAAAGTTTTGTCTATGTGGAACGCATATTCTATTTAAGTTAACTTAATTTTCAATATGGATATCTAGATGTAGATGTTAATAATTTCTAAAGTGTTCTTTCTAAATTTTTAGATCTGAGTGTTAAAGAAAAAATAATCAAAGACATGCAAATGACCCTGGAAGAACAAGAGCAAACTCAGGTAGAACAAGATCAAGTGCTTGAGGCTAAATTAGAAGAAACCAAAAGACTGGCCACAGGTAAAACAAGATTGCTTAAATCTTTCAAAGCATACTTTTTCATTTTCTTTCTTTTACTGGTTTGCTTTCCTTTTTAATGTGGTTTAATATTTATAGTAATTTATAATAGAAAAGTATTTATTGTCTTTTTGGAATATCCTGTCACTTATTATGTTTTACTGTGATGAAGATCGTTGTATCTCATTGAAGAAAGGAATCAGTACACTTTCATAATAACTGGATGATAGCTTGCAGCGTTCCCCAGATGTTAAGAATAAACTTTCAACTTTTTCACCTTGCTACAGCAATTGGTATCATCTTGTATGTTTAGCTCAATAAATACTCTGATTCTATCGTTAAGAATACCATCAATGGATTTTTGGTGGGGTTTTTTTTTTTTTTAAATTTTTGAGAGCATGAAGTTTCCTGTGTATTGGCACTCATTTAAATTGCATACTCAGAACACTAGTCAATGAGTTATTGAGAGGTTTTTGTAGTTCTTGTCTAAGAATTTGGTAAGCTTGTAGAATGGGGTGTGTGTGAGTGAAAATCTCTCAGTCATGTCTGACTCTTTGTGACCCCATGGACTGTATATTCTCCAGGCCAGAATACTGGAGTGGGTGTGTGTGTGTGTGTGTGTGTGTGGGTGGGTGGGTGGGTGGGTGGGGGTGGGTGGGGGTGTGTGTGTGTGAAAATCTCTCAGTCATGTCCGACTCTTTGTGACCCCATGGACTGTATATTCTCCAGGCCAGAATACTGGAGTGGGTAGCCTTTCCCTTCTTCAGGGGATCTTCCCAACTTAGGGATCAAACCTAGGTCTCCTGCACTGCAGGTGGATTCTTTACCAGCTGAGCCACAAGGGAAGCCCAGAATGGTCTCAGTTCTATTTAATATTTTGGCCTATGATCTTCTGCTTCTGGGCTCTGCTGATTCCTGTCTGTATCCCATGCCACATACATCTCTGTGCAGTATAACTTTTGCATGTACTTTAAAAAAAATTTATATTTCTTATCAGAATTGGAAGAATGGAAGGAAAAATGCAAAGTTTTGGAAGCCAAACACAATCAAAGTTCAAATAAAGAATTTGAGGATAACACAGATGTACTTAATACAAAACTCAGTAAGCTTCAAGATGAGTTACAGGTATGATCTTTATCTACATGTGTAATTGTATCTATATATTTATTAATATTTCTCATAAGAAGATGGTTTAGTAAATATTTTACAATTAATTTAGATATGGATGTACTCATGGCTGGGAAATGTTAGTATATAATTTCTCAGTACACGTTGAAATGACATGGGGAAGAGATTCCCTAGAATACAAGCTACTAAGTGCCAATGAAAATGCAGTGGTTGGGTCTTCAGTTTTACATATTTAATTTTTGTATCATCATGTCTTAAGTCTTTGTACTTATTTTTGTACTGTTTAAACTTCTAACTCTTCAAACACCACTGTAGAGAAGAAACTATTAGGAAAATTATTTTGATTATTGTAAACTTAATTATTAAGCTGGAAAAGATTAGAATTGTATGTCTGAACATTGGAATACATTTGAAAATAGATTACTACATTTGAAAGTATATTACTACATAGAAGATACCCTGTTTCCTGTTTATGTATTTTTCCTTATTTAGCTTTCACATGCCATGTGTAGAATAGAACATACAGGGCAAAGATTTTTTAATGGGACTTAACAAATATTATGTAAAATTTTATACATTTTATTTATTAGAAGTTACAATCCAACTGCAGTTTTGGCCTTGAAGAAAGCATAGTAATGAGTTTTGAAAAGATTGCATCTAAATTATTTTCTTAAATTCAGGCTGTATATAATCAGATATTAAACAAGTAAATCAGTTCCTTTCTTTTTTGTAACTATTAATTACATACTGTAGAATTTATCCTTCCCATTGTCAGAACCAAAAGCAGCTAGAACAGAGTGGATAATCCATTAGTTATGAAAAAATACACTGATTACTTTGCTAATGTTCATAGTAAGGAATACTGGTGTGTTTTGCATTCTAAAATAATATGGTCATGTATCTTATATAATAAACTTTGTAATTCTGTAATGGGCTTGTGGTAATTTATCTGGCACAGTGGTTTTGCAAGTTTTAAGAACAGCAGATTTTTAAATACATAGCTTTTAGTGTAGTATTATTATTTTTGCTCCAAAAGAAGTTTTACATGAGTTTTGAACATATAAATGAGATGTTTTCGAACTTGAAGGATCTATGGAAGCCTCTTTAAAATTTATTGATCAACTGTATTTTCTATCCAAGTATTCCCTGTATTCTTTAAACTAATAAATATTTGTCCTGTTACACAAGTTACTCTTTGACATTCTGTGTACCTGGGAAAATTTTATTTTAGGAATCACAGCTAGAAATGACCACTATAAATCAAAAATTTTTTTTTAATCTGGCATTTAGAAAGACTTGATTTTCTGTAATTGTTTCAGAAATTTCAGTTATTTCTTCTTAAGCTCACTGATGAAGGAAAGTTCTTAAATGGACTTTATAGCAAAATTAAGTTTGTAAATGAAATATTTAGGAAAGCAACTGACAATGTTCATTTTATAATCTGAAATATACTCAAACTTTTTCAATATTTAAAGAAAACTGCTTGTTTTTAAGTTTTCTAAAAGGTGAAATGAAGAGCCATGTATTATATGGAAATGTTTATAAATGCAGATTTATTAACTGCTTTTGAAACATGTGATAGTTACTTGTACTATTTCTACATGTAGGAATCTGAACAGAAACATGAAGCTGAAAGAAAAAAATGGTTAGAAGAAAAAATGATGCTTATCACTCAAGCAAAAGAAGCTGAGAATCTCCGAAACAAAGAGATGAAAAAATATGCTGAAGACAGAGAACATTGTTTGAAGCAACAAAATGAAATGGTTGGTAATAGTTATACTTTGCTGTGTATTTTGCCTGCTTTCTTTGGCTTCTTAAATTTTTGCCTGGGATTCTTAGATTCTTATCAGTGTCTACATGGTTGTGTGGGTTTGGTTTTTTTGTTTGTTTTCAAGGCAGTTTGTCTATTTGTAAGATGAGTTTTCTATCCCAGTTTATCTTGAAGTTCTTATTTTGGGGAAAATAATTATTTCTCAATATCTAGATTCAGAACTTAAAAATCTTTTCCTTTTGACTGCCATGGGGTTCTATAGTGTAAAATATTTGTGTTTTGAACTGTAGATTCTGCTAACATGGTGTATGCATTTTACCTCGTAAGCTGATTTTGTCAGATCTTTTTTATTTTTTAAAAAAATGTCAACTATATAGTTTCTAGAAGACTATAGGTAGAAATAACTTTCTGTTTTACATTGACTAGCTATAGTTCTCAAGTAATTCTGTCTTATTAATAGTTTGTGTTTTTTCCTTCTATTTTAATCTACAACTTAGTCTCTTTGATACTCAATCAGAAAAAAGTTCAAAGTCATCATTGACCTGGCAAAACTGTTGAGTAATATTATCTTTAAATATTTAAATATTATCTTTAAATATTGAGTAATATTATCTTTAAATGAAAAGATAACCTAACCCTAACCCTAGTTCCCTATTTACAGTAATAGTAACATGGCAGTATCACATTGCCATCTGTTGGCATTTCCTTTGTTTATGGCAGAATTTTACTTATATCAGCTGAACTTTTCTGTACAAACAGGAACATTAATTTTCACTAAGTTAAAGAAGATTTCCCCACAGATTTAAAAATTATTTCTTATTTTGAAATCACTTTATTTCCAGAAATGTTGCAAAGCTAGTACAGAGAATTTCTGTATACCTATTACCCAACTTCTGATCTTAGAGCCTATATAACAACAGTGCAGTGATCAAAACCAACGAATTAAGATTATTATTACAATACTGATGGCTAAATTTTGGATCTTACTAGAATTTCACCAACTTTCCCACTGTTTTTTTTTTTCTTTCTGGATATAGGATCAAATCTAGGATACTGTGTTCCATTTAGTTGTCAGGTTTCCTTAGAATCTTGACTCTGTTTTCTTTGTCATATGACAAAGTATGTGAGACTAATACCTGTTATTACCATGGCACTCAGGTGGGCAATATATTTCACTTCATGTACCAATGCCACCTGACTGGAGTTACCTTCAGGAAGTGTTGTGTTGAGCAAGATTAAAACGCTACATCTATCTTAACAGAAAATGCTGCTGCTGGTTCTGTTTCTGTCCATAGCCCATTCAACCTTCAGGACAGTAACAAGAGGCACGAAGTGAAATCAGAACTGTTGACTTTCATAGTTAGTCACTCCAGCCCCAAAGCAGGAATGGACCTACTTCTTTTCCTAATCAGTGGTCCCTCTGCAGCAATGCCAGCAAGTAAACCTTCTTTGAATTTTTAGTCCTAGAGCAAACTAACTTTTTCCTTTCTCCTATCTATTTCTTTACATTCGTACCTAGGATGTGTGTCTGCAATATTTAAGAAATAAATTGTTGATTTTTTTTAAGCCTTTTAAATTGGAATACATACAACACAGTAAGTAAAAGAAATGTTGTTCAATGAATTATTGTAAAACCAGTCCCCAGTTAACTACCATTGAGTTTAAGAAACAAAACAATATTACCATCCGAGAGACCCTGTCTCGTCAGTGATAATAAATGTTCTGTCTTTTAGTGTTAAACTTCAGTTTTGTTCATTTTTTAAAACTTTATATAAAGAAAAATATGTAGAATGCATTTTCTTGGGCCTGGCTTCTTTAACTCAGTATTATGTTTGTGAGGATCATTTATACTTGTTGCAAGTAGCTGGAGTTAGTTTCCTTTCATTGGTGAGTATTTCACTGTAGAAGTATACCACAGTCTGTTCAATTTAAAGTTGAAGATCCAGGGGTTGTTACTCTTTGGGGCTGTTATGAGTAAGATATCCTGTAAACATTTTTATGTATTTCTCTTAGTGCACGTGTGCATTCATTTCTATTGCGTATATAGCCAAGAATAGAATTGCTAGTGGATAGGATAAACATCCCTGGAGGAAGGGATGGCAACCCACTCCAGTATTTTTACCTGGAGAATCCCGTGGACAGAGGAGCCTGGCAGACTGCAGTCCATAGGGTCACTCAGAGTCTGACATGAATGAAGCAGTTAGCAGGCAGGCAGGCACGGTAATTATATGTGGCACTCTAGTAGAATGCCAGACTAATTTTCAAAGTAGTTTTTACACTCGTATTGTTGGATTGAATGTTTTGTTTATTGACTCTGCCTACTCAAGCCCCTTGTTTATTTTCTATTTGACTATCTTTTTTATACAGGAGTTCCTTATACTTTCTGGATAGGAGTGTGTTGCAGTTACCTTCTTTCAACCTCTGGTTTACCTTTTTACTGTCATTGCCTTTTTAGAACAGAAATGAAGAATTATTCTAATTAATTTTCTCAGTCTTTTCCTTTATGAACTTCAATGACATGAAGATGTTCTCTTACATTATTTCCTGAAAGGTTTGGGGTTTTACCTTTCATATTTTGATTCCAGTATTAATTTTTGTGTTGGGGTGAGATAGGGGTAAAGGCTGTCATCGTTCTTGTAAATTTGAATTAACAATTGACCTGGTAGTACTTTTTGAAAAAGCTGTTACTTTTCTACTGCTCTGCAACTTTTGTTGTTGGTCAATTGTCCAGTGGTTAACTTTTGTATATGGTGTGAGATTATAAGTCTTTCTTTTTTTCCATTTGGCTGTTCAGGTGCTCCATCACCCTTTCCAGAAAAGACTTCTTTTCTCCATTGAGTTTCTTTGACATTTTTATGGAATATCAATTGACCATAATATTTGTGGACTCTATCCTCTGTTCTCTGATGTCTGTATATCCTTAAGACAATATCACACTGTCTTTATTATTATTATTATATAGGGTAGGCTTAAAATGACATGGTATGATTGCTCCTACTTTGTACTTCATTTTCAAAGTAAACTAGTCTATGTCATTTGCATTTTCATATTATTTCTAGAGTCAGCTTTTCCACTTCCACTCACACAGACACACAGATACACACACACTTGCTTGGATTTTTATTGAAGTTGTTTGACTCTAGATCTTCTAAGGGAGAACTGACATTTAAAAAATACTTGATCTTTTGATCTTTGAACACAGGTTCTCTTTGTTTATTTAAAAAAGAAAGTGAAAGTGTTAGTTGCTCAGTCTTGTTTGACTCTTTGCAACCCCATGGACTGTAGCTGGCCAGGCTCCTTTGTCCATGGAATTCTCCAGGCAAGAATACTGGAGTGGGTTGCCATTCTCTTCAGGGAATCTTCCCAACCCAAGGATCGAACCTGTGTTTCCTGCATTGTAGGCAGATTCTTTACTGTCTGAACTACCAGGGAAGCCCCTTGTTATTTAAGTGTTCCTTTATTTCTTTCAGCAGTGTCTTGTAGTTATGTTTAGATCTTGCACATATTTTCTCTAACTTGCCACAGTTTCATGATTTTTGAACCCAGTGAAAAGGTATTATTAATTTTCATTTTTCTGTTGTTTGTTGCTGTTGGTTTTGTTATTAATTTTTTTGTAATTTTACCATCTCATTTTACAAATATTGGGGGAAATGCTAGAATTAGTTTAAAAGCTGTAATTGTTTTTTGAAGGAAGTGCCCAGTAAGCTTTTTTTTTGTTTTGGAATGAGGTGGCATAGGATATAGTATGTGGATAGTTAAGGTATATAAAGGCATTATGTATTTGTTTTTTTAAGTAAAAATTTTATCTAGAGTTGATTGTATAATTTGTTGCATATCCTGTTCACAGTGGTATTTATTGTGTTATCCATAATAACTTCAAAAATTCTTAGATTCATAATGTTACAACATTTACTTTAACATTTTGTCTGTATTCTGTTAAGGAAATACTTAAAGGACAGTTGGCTGAGAAAGATGGTAACCTCCAGCAGTGGCGGGAAGAACGTGATCAACTGGTTGCAGCTTTAGAAATAGAGCTGAAAGCACTGATCTCCAGTAATGTACAAAAAGATAATGAAATCGAACAATTAAAAAAGATCACATCAGAGGCTTCTAAGACAGTCAGTAGAATGTTATTCTATGCCTTTTTTGATTAAACATAGGAGTTTTTCAAAATTATTTAATTGATTAACTTTTAAAGAATAAAAATGTTAGTAGATCAGTGGGGAATCATAGGTTGAAAAAATTATTTGCATATTTGCCATGAATTTTGAGTTTTCAGAGTTTATCATTATAGTTGACTCATCAGTGACTGGTTGAGGAATAGTACTTTCTCTAATATTTTGGCCATATCTTCAGATAGAGTATTTAGAAAATAAACAACTGGTGATTTAGTCCCTCATCTGTCTTTAAAGTATGGCAGTGTGACTCAGCCTGAACTCTTGCTGATATTTAAATATTTGAGCCCAGCCTAAATTTATGATAAAGATACACACTGTTTTTGAAAATAAGCACAGTGGTGAGATGTGAGTCATTCAGCGGGTACTTTTTTTTTTCTTGGCCATACCACTCAGCTTGCAAGATCTTAGTTCTGTGACCAGGGATTGAATCCAGGCCCCAGCAGTGAGAGCTCTAAAGTTCTAACCACTGGACTACCAGCAAATTCCCAGGAGCTACTTTTGTAATATGCACTGGAGTTAGGAACCCTAGATGAAGAAAGCATTGCATTTCTCAGTTAACTGTTTCCCAGGAAAATTGAATCAGGATACATCTAAAGCTAGTCTTTCCAGAGTAAATGATTGGCATTTGAAAATATGCCATTCTAAAGCCTTCAGATAAATAATAAAATAAATATGTATGTGTGTATCTGTCTCTTACATCAAAAGACCTCGTGATTCTCAGAGAAATACTGTCTGCTCAAAACAGGTATTAGCATGTGGTATAAATTGTACAGAAGAGAAAGTTAGAAAAATGAGGTATCAACTGCTGTCACTGTGGTTTTGGGACCTTTAGGAAAATTACTTAACATTTGTGAACTTTAAATCAGAGGTGATGATGTCTTCCTAATGGAATTGTGAAAATTTATTGAGTGTTTGTAAAACAGTTAACACAGTTATTACCATAGTGGAAGTCAGTACATGCTAGTTGCTTTCCACATTATGAGTGCAAATAGGATCTTTTTTACTTGCTATTTTGGGTAGGTGACATAAGAGATGTATTTCACTTTTGATTTTGGTGGTAGTGATTAGAGGGTCCATGTTCGAATTTATCAAGTTTAGCAATGTAAATCTGATATTTTTTAATATATCCTTTAAATAGTGTTTAGGAATAGAGCATGTCCTGTGACTAAGTGGGATGAAGAGTGTGCAGCAAGGAAAAGTTTAGTTATCAGTATAGTCTTTTCTACTCTAATTCTGTAATTGCATTCCTAAGACACCTCTAGTTTTTCAGAATTACGTTATCAAAGGGATTTGGGAGGTTTAAGCTCCAACCTAGTACAGACTGTGGCTTTGTTATTTAATGTCTCTAGGTCTCTATTTCCTATATGGAAAGTAGATATAATGATTCTTGCCAAGTCTAACTCCGAGTTGCAGTGAAAGTAAAATGAGAGAATATATGTAAAACACCTTGGAACTTGAAAGTAATCTTTCAAATTTCTGTTTAGGTCAGACTCAGAAGAGGCTGGAAAGTTGCTGAGTCTCTGAGCATGCAAAAGAGGAAGAAGGAGAGTTAGTTAGTCATTGAAGTCTTTAGTTACTTCCAGTATTTAATTCATCCAAATCTTGATTTTATATTCTTTAGGTGAATTATTTTAATGTATATTTGGTTACAGCGGCTTGTTGCTTTAATATTTCCTTACAGACCACGGATAGCCAGCCCACACAAATGAGTTCAGCAAATCCTGGCAGGATTGAAACTGAACCTCAGTCAACAAGTTTTGAAATTTCTAGGGGTGAAGTCGAGGTGGGTATTTGATAACACAGTCTGTTCTTTAACCCTCTTTGCCAATGACCATTAATTGCTAAATAACACTTGAAAGTATAATTTAATCAGCTGTTGAAGATATCTTTCTGTACAGTTAGCTATGAGTGCTCTTGGGGAGGAGAACTAAAGGCTTTTGAGGGGGGATGCAATTCTCCTGAGGAAATTTGATCCCCAAAAGATACTGATCTCTTCAACGTGATACTGATCTCAAACAACAGATCTTTTAATATAAATAAATTTGATGGTCAGAAATAGGAAATCCCACAAAAGATAAAATTTGGATGACTGTTTTCTCTCGTAAGTAGTCCATTTAATAAGCATTCTAGTAAACGTATTTTTTGGAAATTTTACCCACTTTACAACTTTATCACCAGTCCCAGTAACCTCACAATGAAGTTTCTTTGGTTTGAAGCGGCCTTGGGGTTCTGTGACTCATGTTGTATAGCATAGACTTTATCAGAGTGCCTATGAATTAGGTAAAAATCATATGTCACTTTTTGAAAATAAAATTACTTTTTAAAATATTTATTTCAAAAACATTTAATGGAAGCACTCATTGTTAGGAACCTTGCTAAGCCCTGAGGATAAAGACATAAATCACCATCCTCGAGGAGTAAGACTTCTAATAAGACAGGTATTTAATGACTGTCTTGTTTGACCATTCAGACTGCGTGTTATGAAGAGAGTGCTGGGAAGGGACACTGAGGCAGATAGGATGGATTTTGCTTGAGTGGCTGTGTAGGAAAAGTAACATTATGCTGGGTCTTGAAGGCTAATGGAAGTTTACCAAACAGAGAATGGGAAGAGAAAGGCATTTTAGTTCAGGAAAATAGCATAAGCCATTCCTTACAAGACTTCAGAAGAATCGTGTTACTTCCACCACATGCTGTTAGTCACAGAAGCCATTAAGGCCAGCCTCCATTCAGGGGAGGGGGAATGAGACACTCTGAATAGGAAGACTAGTATTCGCAGCAAAATGTAGTTTACCGCAATGAGGGTGCTTATTACCTGGTAGCTCAGACGATAAAAAATCTGCCTGCATTGTGCGAGACCTGGGTTCAATCCCTGGGTTGGGAAGATCCCCTGGAGAAGGGAATGGCTACCCATTCCAGTATTCTTGCCTGGAAAACCCCATGGACAGAGGAGCCTGGCAGACTATAGTCCATGGGGTCCCAAAGAGTTGGACACGACTAAGCAACTTTCAATAGACTGTAGATAATGGAATAGATAGGGTGCTTATTAAAAATCCTAGACTCTTTCCTTTGAGATTCCTGATTTAGTAAATTTGTGGTGGAGTTCAAGAATTTTTTAAACTATTTCTCCAGAGGATTCTTATGATGAAACAGGTTTGGGAAATACTGAGTACCATGTGTTAACCTGGAGAGTGTAGATGAAAACTCACTCTTTCTATCCCTGTTGTGGTGAGTTTGACCCAAACGTTTTATCTTTCCCAATTCATTGTTTTTAATAGTTATTTGAGAGAGGGAATTTTTGGCAGTTTAGAAATTCATGTTCTGCAAATAAGATTTGTTTTCCTTATAAATTCTGTTGTAGGATGGATCTGTAGTCCTTGACTCTTGTGAAGTGTCAACAGAAAATAATCAAAGCACTCGATTTCCAAAACCTGAGTTAGAGATTCAGTTTACACCTTTACAGCCAAACAGAATGGCAGTAAAACACCCAGGTTGTACCTCACCAGTGACGGTTAAGATTCCCAAGACCCGAAAGAGGAAGAGTCATGAAATGGAAGAGGTAAATACTTAACTATTAAGTGAACTAAACAAGTAAGTTTTATTATTGTTAAGTTCATCTATATAGTTAAACTCTGTTACATTGCCCTCCTGTTCATAAGCACTAGTATTAGAACCCAAAGTCACAGTTTACAGTATATTTAATACTGTTAAGAATGTTGCTGTGGTAAATAGTCCTCAAACAAAGCTTGAGGATTTTAAAATGTGTAGATTTCCTTGTTTCAGTGAAGCTGTGATAGGTCAAATGGTGGTGAATTTTAGTAGAAAGCTATTTCAGTATTCCAGTTCCATTCATACTTAGGCACTTTCCCTCATTTGGAATAGAAAAGGGATTAAGGATAAAGGAATTAGAGAAACTGAAATCACTAACTTGCTTGAATATAATCCTTGTGATTTAGTTAAAATCTTAGGTCTCTATGATCATAGTAGGTTTCAGAAGAGAAATTCTTTTTCTGTGAGTCAGTATGAAAATTTGGATCTTATTTAGTGGTAGGCCAAAAATGATTTACTTCTTTACTTCTTGCTTTCTGATTGTGGGGTTACCAACCTTCTATTATATTCTAGTCATGTAGGTTCAGCAAGTCACATAAACTTTCTGATTCTCACTTTCCTCCTTTTGAAATAAAGAATAAGATATAATATGTTTTAAATGTTTTGCTTTTGTTCCACCTGTAATAGGTACATAATAAATGACAATATTTATGTTAAAAGCAATATTTATGTTTAAAACTCTTTAGCACAATAACTTTTTCTCCAACTTGTCTTTTTCACTTCTTTAAAGAGTAGTGTATTTTCAAGCTGGTGGAAGAACAGAAATAATATTAAACATACTCCTGAGGCTCTCTGTCAGGTAATATATTTGATGAATGAATATTATTTAGCATATTTCTTGCTACATGTAGAACACCTTAAAAATTGTTTTGGAGAGCCTTAGTTAACTTTTATTCTATATTTAATACGCTTAGATACCATTAAGATACAGATGACTCTTGGACAACATGAGGGCTCAGTGCCAGTCATTGTGCAGAAAAATCTTGTGTAACGTACAGTTGGCTCTGGGAGTGTGAGGTTCCTCATCCGTGGATTCAACCAAAGTACAGAGTGTACTTTGAATAGTATTTACTATGGAAAAATATCAGTGTATAAGTGGACTCATGCATTTCAAACCTGTGTTGTTCAAGGGTCAACTCTACTAAGTAGTTTGATTTCATCATCATCTGTTAACATAGTGACTGACAGCTCTGTCGACTTGATTCATTTTTTTCAAGGGAAAAGGAAAAATTGTGTACTCTGAGGGTTAAGAGACAGTTATTTCATTCATTTTACTGCTGGTATATACTCCCCATTTCAGAATTACAACAACAGATTGTTGTAAGTAAACCATGTAGAAACTTAAAAATTTTAACTGATTTAGCTAGGCTCTTTACTGCTGTAGTAAACAGTGTTGTGAAGTCTTCAGGAAAATAATTTATACAATGCTATATTCTACTCTCATGAAAACTCCAAATTTGAAGTGCTCTATTGAAAACAACAAGTGTGATGGAGTTACAGTATTTTCTTCCTTTGCTTTCCTTGTCTATCTGTCTTTCCTCTTTACAAAATCTGCTTCTTGTCATCCTTATGACTTTACTTTGTAACTTGAATTCAGAGGTTCAGCCATGATCTTCTCTCTCTTTCTGTTCTTGCTCTTTTCCCCCCTTTTATGCTTATCATGTTTAGCACAGTTAGGATTTTCACAAGTTCAATTCAGTTAATAAACTACGAAAGATTTTGTCTTAAGTAAGGTTATGTGGGGAAAAAGAGTAAGATGTCATGCCTATTTAGTACTGAAGGCAGATTTTATTTCTTCACTATCATTTTTTACCTGTGCTTACACTGAAGATTTTTGTTTTGTTTTCAGTGTTGCTAAGTACCAAATAGAGGTCATGCTCAACATGATTTGGGAGTTGGGAAAAGGGTAGATATATTACTATGTTGTATTTTAAAGATGGGACTCAAAAGATATTATCTCTTCATTTAACTAATGTAATTTCATTATGATGCATGTGAAAAAATATACCTTCAATCATTTTGTAATAAAAACATGTATTATGTCATCACACTGTGCATTTAAACCTACATATGTTATATATCAGTAATATTCACTGAAGGTGAACAAATTGTGAGAAAAAAGGTGTACCTTCAGTCAGGGTTTCTCAGCTTTAGCATGATTGACATTTTTGGCCAGATATTTCTTTGTTTTGAAGAGTTCAATGACCTGTACGTTGTGGAGTTTTTTAGCAGTATTCCTGGCCTCTACCCACTAGTTGCCATTAAACTTGCCTCTTATCCCCAGCAATGACAGCCATAAATATCTTCAGACATTGCCAGTGTCCCCTGGGGACAGAATTGCTTCTGGTTAAGAACTGTTTGCTTGGTTTTTTGTTTGTTTGTTTTCTTTTTTTCTTCCTCTGGAGTCTAGAGAGAGAAAGAATATGTTGTCAAGAAATTAATCCGTGCTGAACTTCATTATTTTTAGGACTTTGTGAAATTTGAAAATAAGAAGAATGCTACACCAAGAACTAATTTGAAGTCCCCTGTTTCTGAGCATAGAAATTCTTCTGTCAAAAAGGAACAAAAGGTTTGTCTTTTAATTTGTCCAAAATTGACCATTTTCACAAGTTAAATTTGTGAAGTAGATGATGAAAATAAAAATGTCAAATTTGATTAGTAATTATTCAGAAGTTGAGTTTTGTCCAATTATAACTCATTTATATTCCATTTTCTATTCATCTAATTCAGCTTAGAATACACAACCTTTAACATTTGACAAGTAGCAGGTACTTCTTGATGTATTCATCTCTGTCTTGGCATTCTTATCACACTCCTTCTCTGGCCCTTTCATCCCTCTCCTTATATTATTAACCCCAAGTTCCCTACCTGAGAATTTATAACTTGTGTCTGGCCTCTTTAATTCAACTGTGGCTATAACTGTTTGTTCTAGCATGCCTCATTACCAATAACAAAAAAAAATGTTTGTTTCTTAGGTTTCTGTACGCCCATCATCTAAGAAAACTTACTCTTTACGGAGTCACGCATCCACAATTGGTGTAAATGGGTCTGCTAAGAAAAAAGAAGGAACGCTGCAGAAATTTGGAGACTTCTTACAACATTCTCCGACTATTCTTCAATCCAAAGGTTTGCAGACTGTTAATTAGATGGCCCTTTATGTCAGATGTGTGGTGTTTTCTAACCTCTGACTGGCGTAAGCTCAACCACAGTGCCTCTTCTCCAGTAGACACTGTTCTGTGTTAGGTGTTGAGGGAGGAAACATGAGAGTATGATGTGCCTTGGTGTTCACTGTGTGGTGGAAGAGAGCAATCTGTATATAAATAATTGATCCAGAGTAGCTTCCCAGGTGGTGCTAGTGGTAAAGAACCTGCCTGCCAGTGCAAGAGATGTAAGAGACATGGGTTCGATCCCTGAGATGGAAAGATTCTGTGGAGAAGGGAATGGCAACCCACTCCACTATTCTTGCCTGGAGACACCAATGGACAGAGGAGCTTGGAGGACTGCATCTGTGGGGTCACACAGAGTTAGACACAACTGAAGCGACTTAGCACGCATGCATGTAGACTGCTTAATGCGTTGTAGAGATACAAGGAAAGAGCTATGGTAGTATTGGAGGAAAAGAACTGTTGGGGGCTATGGGAAGATTTGATATTAATAGACGAGATGGGATTTAACTTGGGTATTGAAATACTGGAAGATTATACCTCCTAGACGTAACCACTGTTAGTATTATGGTATATATTTTAGTGCTTTTTTCCTCTGCATGGATAAATATTACCTAATCTTATGTACTATATCAAAAACATATTTCTTTAAATATCTATTAAGTTTAGTTGCTTAATGCTTTTTTCTTTAAGATATATATTCTCTCTATATACACATCTACCAGAAAGAACAGTTTTAACATAAGTAGAGTACCCGGAAAGTATAGGACTTGTACAGGCAGTTCTAGGTAGCAGTATGCATCTGGCATCTAGAATGTGGAGAGATTATTAGGAGGAAGGGGGCAGGAAGGAGTGAGTTTTCATGTTTTCATGGAATTACCTGAGTGGTGGTGGTGGGGGGATAAATTGGAGACTAGAGGTGGGGAGAATGAGGAGGGAAAGTGACTAAAAACAGGGGGACAGTTGAATTGAGTCATGTTGGTTATGTAAAAATACTTTGTGTAAAAACTTACCACAGAGCTTCCCCAACTTTCTTGGTTCACAGTGCCCTTAATGTGTCAGTAATTTTTTTCAGTGCATCCATGCACCCAAAGAAACACCTAAATAGTCCCATCCATTAATACTTAAGGCCAAACAATCCCTGAAAATTTAGCTTCTGAAAATCCAGGTTGCTAAAATATGTCACCATCAAAAGGAAGGATATTTGATACCTTTTTGAAACTCTGAACTGTCCTGAGTTGAGTGTCACTGTTTTCCTTAGAAATAAATATTCCAAGTTGCTCTTGTGAATTTGCTTCAGCATGTCTTGGCGCACAGTTTGGGAACTGCAGACTTAGATCCATTTGTGTGAATATATATATATTTAATAGTATACATTCTTTGAAAGGTATCGTTTGTATAAGCATAGAAAATATCTGGAGAGGTAAACAGCAAATTGTTAAATGTCTAAATTTGGAGAGGTGAGACTTGTTATTTTAGATTCTTAGGTATTCTATTTAATTATATTGACCATTGTTTATATTTATTTAGTTGCTAAGTTGTGTCCGACCCTCTGCGACCCCATGGACTGTAGCCCACCAGGCTCCTCTGTCCATGGGATTTCCCAGGGAAGAATACTGGAGTGGGCTGCCATTTCCTTCTCCAGGGGATCTTCCTGACCCAGGGATGGAACCTGAGTCTTCTGCATTGCAGGTAGATTCTTTCCTGACTGAGCTACGAGGGAAGCCCCTCTTCTTGAAAACATATTTACTTTTGATATATAAATAATATATAGCCAGAAAAAGCAATGAATATATGGTTTATATATTAAAAGGAAACATGTTTTCAAGTAGAGGGAAGTACCCAGATGGTAATGACTTCCTGAGTTGGTTGATTTAGCTTAACAGCTTCCCTACCATATACCCGGTGTGGGTTTTTTTTTAAAAACTCCTTTCTAGGAATATAAAGATTCCATGTTTTGGATTGTAACTGCAGTACATGTCTGTTGTTGATCACTTGGAAATAAAGGGAAAAAAGAAGAAAATAGAGGCTAATTCTTAAAATTCTGTTGCTCTGATAACTACTCTTAATCCATTAATCCATTACTCAGTATCACTGGTCTCCCCATTTATCCCTTACTCCTGTCTCCTATCCATTCAGTACATAGCAGCCAGAGTGATCTTTTCAGAGTACAAATTATTTAAGCCTGTAATTTTTTGTTTTCTTGTTGCCTTTCCCAGTAGGATATAAGCTCTACAAGTGCAGCATGTCTGTCTTGTTTCCATCTTTGGCTCTTAGTACAGTGGTTTGCACATAGTAGTGAGGGATTCTGAGGCTCCAACCCAAAATCCTATGTGTGATTTGTTTCAGGCTGACCATGGGCGATTACAAAAGTTTAACCTGTTAGGCCTCATAAGGGAAAACTGCCCTTCCCACGTCAAACATGATACACAGCCAGTGCATTCCAGTCTTTGGAGGGAGTTAGTCAGTCAAGGACTCAGGTCTCCTGTTGGCCATACTCTTACACATATCTGCATTCCTAGCCTGTGTGTGTGTACTAGTCACTCAGTCGTGCCCAATTCTTTGTGGCCCCCATGGACTGTAGCCTGCTAGGCTCCTCGTCCATGGAATTCTCCAGGCAAGAATAGTGAGTGGGTTGCCATTTCCTTCTCCAGGGGATCTTCCTGACCCAGGGATTGAACCTAGGTCTCCTGCATTGCAGGCGGATTCTTTTACCACTGAGCCACCACGGAATTCCTAGCCTAGGGGCCTTCATTTGGATGCTCCTAATTGAGTGCCTTTGGTAGAGAATGTCCTCAGGCGTCTCTGCTGAAGACCTTATGATGGGGAAGGAGAAGGACTACTTTTCTACTCCTCGCCCTCCCCTCTGGTCTCCAGCACCAAGGTCCATAAAACTGCAAGTGCAGGAGTCTTTTGACAATGATAGAACCACCACTTCTGTGCTGATCCATCTGACCCAGACCATGCATTATTCCGTGGGGGAGTGTGGAACAGGGTGGGAGTTGGTATGCTCTCAGTTTAGCCTCTTGTTTATTCAGTTGCAGTAGAAGGTTAAAGGCTTTAACTTTCATGTTGACTTGTCTTAATTAGCTACTCAGACATCTGGCAGCTCAGCTCAGCCCTTGACAGGTAGACACTTAATTCTGCATATTTCCTTAAATGTTTTCTTTAAAAAAAATTTTGTTTTGATATCATATATATATATATATATATATGGATTTTATATCCATAAGTTTTCCCAAATGGAAATGTTTTCTGCTGAAATCAGTATGTGTCTGTTTAAATAAATAAATAAGGCAGATGTACAAACTAAGAAATTGAAAAATTCTTTTTAAACTTCCGAGAAACGATCAACTGTTAAAAATTTGGTTTCTATCTTTTAATCTATGTATCTGTGTGCATGTGTTTTTTAACTGGAAGTAAATGGCTCACAATTACAAGTGGCTCACAATTACAAGTTACTTTTACTTAATATTCATGTGGGCATCTTTACATGTGAATACTGAACTAGCTCTGCCACCTTATTATTCTTAATGCTACATAGTCCACTGTGTATGTGTACTGATCTTTTCCGTAAATGTAGTGTAAACCTCTTCCAAGTCATTAAGGATGCCTGAGTTTTACTGGTGGTAGTATACTTTACCAATATGTAAATTTACCAAATTTACAAAATTTCAACCTTTACAATATGTTGAACTTTAGTGAAGTGATATTTTATTTGCCTTTCTATTTTTGCTGTTGATCATTAAGTCATATATTTATCAGGCATTTCTTTGTTTTCTATTCATGTCCTTTCACCATTTATAAATTGCAGTGCTTTTTAATATGGCTCTTTATTAAGGATTTACAGTATTTGCAATTAGGAAATTATTTCAGGATTTAACTGATAAATTTTTTTCATAGCAAAGAAGATAATTGAAACGATGAGCTCTTCAAAGTTCTCGAATGTAGAAGTAAGTAAAGAAAATGTGTCTCGACCAAAACGGGCCAAACGAAAATTATACACAAGTGAAATTTCATCTCCTATTGATATATCTGGCCAAGTGGTAAGCTACGATTTCAGTTCTCTTAAAAGTAAAACTCTTTATGTTCTTTTTAATTCTGAAGTACTCTTAAAATTTGAATTATATAGTGGTTTGAATCTTTTATTCTGTACACCGAGTTTCGTAAAACTTGCTTTAAAAGTTATACTATTGGTACTGGATGTGTTAGGTTTATAGTAATTGAATGTAAATGCTGCATTAATGTATACAAGTGTCACATGCATCTGCATTTGTAAACTCATTAGAATTTTAGAATTTTAATTCCATCAATAGAATTATCACTGTTTAATAATCTATTGGCTTCTAACATCTGTTTTTCATGTTATCTTTAACATAAGAGTTGTACAAATCTGGGCCTGTCTGCCTGGTTAAAATATAGACTTGACATTCAGTCATTTCCTCTCACTTTCCCTCTAAGACTTCCATGTTCTCTTAAGAAAAGACTAGTTTGTCACCCTGACTCTGTGACTCATTCTCCTTACTCAGAACATGCTGTTCTGTTACAGGGAAAGTTCTAATTTTCCATCATGCTTGCATTTACCTAGTGGATAAAAGTGAAGATAGGAAAGTAATTAAAGGAAAAGCCTTCAACAGGAAGTGGCCAAGAAAAATCAGGAGAGACCTTTTTGTAACAGTAGCTGTCAGATAAAAGATAGACGCTTGAAGCAAGTAGTAAAGAATTAGGGTAAAGAATTAGGGTCATTAGGACTTGCTTTTCCAAGTGCTGTTCTCTTGGTTACTTTTTTCCATCTGTCTGATGAGTACATGATTTTCTCCCTTAGCTGAAATTGTTTCTTTTCTTAGTTGCAAAATAATGCTCTACTTGTTATTGCAAAAAATAATTTCTTTAAAATTACTTGAGATACTTGGCTCAAAATATTTTAGTTATTATTTCAAGCTATGTATGTCCGGAACTCAGTAAAAGTATGGATTTCTTTAATTTTAGAATGAGGTGGTGTTGTAAGAATCTTTTATAAAGTCTACTGCCTTAGGCATGCTTTTTTATAGAAGATAGTGTAACTGCAGTCCAGGAGGACAAAAATTACTGTCATGTACTTATTATTTCAGTTTATTAAACACTGAAATATGAACATATCTTATTAATTGTAAGTAAGGTTTCATTTTTACTTTTATTTTCACTTATAAAAATGTGTGAAATTGTTCATTTCAGATTTTGATGGACCATAAAGAGAAAGAAAGCGATCATCAGATTCTCAAACGACGACTTCGAACCAAAACAGTCAAATAAATCACTTATGGAGAATATTTTAATATAAATTTTATATTCATAATCATTGTAACTTGTATCATGACTTTTTAAAGATAATTGTATATACTGTGTTGCATCAAATCCCTTTGTGTATACATTGTTATTTTGTACTGGTATAATTTTAATTCAATAAAGAAAACATATCAACAATAAGTTTACTTGCCTAATTTTTTAAGGCTGTTAAATAATAGCTTCTTTTCATAATAGCTTCTTTTATCCTAGGCATGGGCCCAGTGAGGAGCCAAGGAAAGATGCTGTGGTTTTTGTTTGTGTTTATGTAGATAGATGTTGTAAGTTAGATCTTTGGTTTACTTATATTTAACTGTTGCAGGACTTGCTTTTATTGCATGTTAGGAAATACAGGTGATTTTACATATCTGTTTGTATAGGAAGTAAGTGTGTATAGGTCATCTGGTTGCTAAAATGTGCACATATTTTAGAAAAGACCTCAGGTTTTTAATTAGAATGTCTTTTATTTTTAAATAATAGAATAGAGTTGGCTTTCTGATTTTTTTAGGACACAGATGATTAGAAGCAGAAAGTTAGAAGGAAAGGGGAGATAACATTTAGAGGCCAAAAAAAACCACTGTTATCTAAGAAAGAAGATTTTAGTCTTCACACGCACTGCAACTAGAGAGTAGCCCCCACTCTCTGCAACTAGAGAAAGCCCACATGCAGCAAAAAAGACCCAGTGCAACCAAAAAATAAATAATAAAGCCATAAGTAGAAAACTACAGTGAGGGAAGGAAGATCAGTGATTGCCTTGAAGCTGTGGTCAGGAGATGGAATCTGAGGACATGAGGAAACTTCTTGGGGGAATGGCTGTGTTCTGTGCCTTGAGTGTTCTGTATTCTGTATGCAATCTCTAAAAATAAAATTGTCTTTGAATTAATTTTATTGCTTGAAATATAAAGCTGGGAAAAAAGATTTTAAAATAAGCAGCAAAACTGCAATGAGACGTACCATTCTGTGGAGACCAGAATTGCTAAAATTAGAAAGACTGACAATACCAAGTGAAAGATTCTGGCTTCTAGCATGTATGTTTAAAGGAAATTTTTTTCTTCCCCTGTAGAGTAACTGCACTCGTTCTTTATTGTGGCAAGAGATCATATTTTGGAAAATGTTTTGAAGGCATTTTTTGACCTAAGGTTCAGTTCAGTCACTCAGTTGTGTCTGACTCTTTGCGATCCCATGGACTGCAGCCCACCAGGCCTCCCTGTCCATCACCAACTCCCGGAGCTTACACAAACTCATGTCCATTGAGTCAGTGATGCCATCCAACCATCTCATCCTCTGTCGTCCCCTTCTCCTCCTGCCTTCAATCATTCCCAGCATCATGGTCTTTTCAAATGAGTCAGTTCTTCGCATCAGGTGGCCAAAGTATTGGAGCTTCAGCTTCATCATCAGTCCTTCCAATGAATATTCAGGACTAATTTCCTTTAGGATGGACTGCTTGGATTTCCTTGCAGTCCAAGGGACTCTGAAGAGTTCTCCAACACCACAGTTCAAAAGCATCAATTCTTCAACACTCAGTTTTCTTTACAGTCCAACTCTCACATTCCATACATGACTACTGGAAAAATCATAGCCTTGACTAGCGGACCTTTATTGGCAAAGTAATGTCTCTTCTTTTTAATATGCTGTCTAGGTTGGTCATGACTTAAGGTGACTTAAAAATGATGGAATTATAATAGAAACATTTTATTAAAGCTCACTTTAGAATACAGGTATTAATAATTACACTTGATGAAGTGGTTATAGCAAATTTGAGGGAGAGTTTGAAAATCTGTAGGTGAAATTTAAAATGAAATAAGACAAGTGTAAGCTGAATTCTAAATGTCCTAGGTATGATCATTAGAGGAAGGCTTTTGTAAAGGAAATAATGCTTTAATACTTGAGTAATCACTTTCTAATTTATGTATTTTATAAATTTAAAATTTTATTTTTTCTTCTGTAAAGTTATGCCTTATTTGTGGTTAAAAGTCAATTTAGTAAATGCTTATCAAAAGTTAATGATGATAAATACTATTTAAAGGCATAACAGAAGAAAGCCAAATATTATATATCTAAAAATGGAAAGAGGATATATACTTCTGAATTCTTTTGATTACAATTTTTTTCATCTTCAGCAGCATTCAAGAGAAGTGAAGACTTTATATGGAAGTTAAGGGAACAACTTCAAAGAAATGTAGTAAGCTATTGGTAGGTATGTTAAACTTAAGCCTGTAATTTTTTTGTCCCTGTGGCTTTCAGAGGTATGTTCATCTGTTAATGCAATTATACCCATTTTTTAAAAGTCATAGTCCAGTATACTGAATATTCTTACTGATCTGTGTCTCAAATCTCAATCAGGGGAGACCTGTAAATGTGATATTCTGGTTAATCTACTATACCAAGATGTGCTTTGCTGCCCAGCTTCCCTAATCTTGGTCTTCTTCACTGCCTTGGAGCAAGACAAAAGTGCTGTACTTTAGCTATTTCATCTCTGCCTACAACCATCACTACCGATATAATTGCTATAACTGCAGTTTGATTAAGATGGGCATTTTCCTTCCCCTCTTCATACTTGGTAAATCATATAGGCTGTCAGTGTTTCTGATTTGGCCAAATCCCAGAGAGTGACCAGACGGGGTACTAGATTGGAATTTTACTGGCTGATGTCATTCTTCAAAGCTTTTCATTTCCTATTGGTGACTAGTACCTTTGAACCAGTATCTGAACTCTGTCTCAGTGTCACATACACAGTCAAGTCCCTTGTTTCCCCAAATATGGAATTCATCAAGGAACTACTGTATATAAAACATAACTACTAAGGACCTACTGTATATATAGCACAGGAAACTATTTAATGTAATGACCTATACGGGAAATAAATCTAAACAAGAGTGGATATATGTTTAACTGATTCACCTTGCTGTGCAGCTGAAATGAACACAACGTTGTAAATGAATTTATGCTGTAATGAAAATGTTTAAAAACAGAAAATATCTACCACCCCCCGCCAACACACACACAAAGAGGAAATTTAGGCGTGGCTTAGGCTGTTTCATGGCCAAGTAGGCTAAACTTTAATAAATGGGAGGCTTCACTGTGACTTTCTGAACCTAAGGCGTGAGCTAGCAGAGCCTACTCTAATTAATAATAGCTAAGAATTTGGTCTTTAGTTCTAAAACTCACTTTTTATTTACCATGTGACTGAGGAACAAATTGATGTAAAACAGTAGATGAACCTTATGGTACAGACTCGGCATGACTAGATGCTATATCCAGTCTAAATTCAGATACATATTTTCCGTGCAATTTGTACACCAGCAATATGATTGATGACTAGTCCCACAAAACTAGTGCAGTGTTAGTTTTGCATGCTTCAACTAGCAGTGTATGGTTTAAGAATACAATTTATATATTAACACTTAGCCCCCCGTCCATATTATCATTCCATTTATCATTTATTTTGGGACTCTTGTCCTTAGAATACAATTTAAAAGTTACTTAACGAATAACCATGAATAACAATTGACAGCACCAAAATGATGTTCCTGAGATAAAATATGTATATGGATTATTGGGCAGTGTTAAAACTAACTTCTGAAAGTTTCAACAGAAAAGGAAACACATGATTTCTCAGATAACACATTAAGTGGAAATTTGAAGCAAGATACACGTCATTGATCAAGGTATGTATCAGTGATTCAGTAATCCAGAGATCTATTTAGTAGGCCATACTATGGCCATCACTCATATATCTATAGTTACATTCATACTACAGAGTTGAGTGGTTGTGACCCTTGTCTGCAAAGCCTGAAATTTTTACCATTTGACCCTATACTGAAAAATTTGGTTGGCTTCTGTAGTAGACAGTCCAACATACATAATGCCAGTCAGTAAGTGGTATTTATCCAGCAAGCTGCCAAATATGTTTGGTCATCATCAGGTGATGTTTCCTGCCACTTCCTGGCATATTTTGGATTTAATGTAGTATGTCAGTGCCTGGCACATAGGTATATTTTTTTGAGCATTTACTGTTTTAATTTACCTGTTTTACTAAAAATAAGTATATGATACTCTTAAAAATGGATCATCACAAAATAAGAAGAACCTAGAAGTGCTTAGTATTATTTTTAAAAGTAAATTTTGATTAACATTTAATACTGTCTCTAGATGATAATGTGAAGCATTACTGTTTGAGGAATAGAGTTTGGAAAGACTACCCAAGGTCCTTGTTACTTAAAGTGCAGTCAATAGGCAGGCAGTGTGGGCATCACTTGGAAACTTGCTAGAAATAGAGACTCACGGGTTCCACCCTAGACTCCTCCTGGAAAAAAAGCTGTTTTTTTAAACAAGATCTCCAGATAAGTCATGTAAAGTTTGAGGAGTACTGCCAGTTACAATACTATGGCAAGTGATTGTGAGCAACGTCTACTCATGCCTTGCTGATGATAATGTACTTGAGAGAGCCATTTTGGAAAATTGGTAGTATCGATTCAAACTCCCCCACTTAAGGTGAAAAGCACAGGGAAGACTTGATTCCTAATGAAACTATTTTTTACCATTCTGGTTAAAAAAAAAGAAAGTTAACAATTCTCAAGTACACAAAATTGTATACAGCTCAATGAGTTATCAGAAGTGAATACATTTATCTCATGAAAAGTCGAAGAAAAGTTTCTATCATTACTCTCTGGCCCTGTCCCAGTTACAACCTGTCCTGTTATTGAAAAGTAACCCACTATCTTAATTTCTAACAGCATGGAATGCACAAAAAGTATGCATATGTTGTGGCTGATGCCATTTGTATTAAAATATACTTGTGAGATTTATCTATATTTTTCTTTCTGGTTATAGTATTTTCACTTATTGCTATGTGACATTCCATAATATATCACAATTTATCCATTCTACTATGGGTAGACATTTAGGTTTCCAGTTTTTTGTTATATACAAATAATGCTGCCATAAACGCATATATCTGAGGTGTACCT